ATTTGGGATGAGCAGCAGCTCTTGCACCCAGAGCTTCCCAAACTGCCTGAAATGTGGGAATTTGCATCCCACTGAAATTGAAGTGGACACCAAATCTTCCTGATGTTTTCTCACAGCTGTGTCCTGACACTGGTGACACATGCAGAGAGCTGATATGTTCAGGTCTGTATTTTCAGGTCTGTGGAACATGGGCAAAAACTTGGGGCAGGATGATCCTGGCTGGAAAACTTCCTTAGTGTGAGGGCTTGGCCCTGCAGCCGTGGGGTTTGCCATGGGGAGATCTGTCCTTGCTGTCCATCCCTGTGACCTCAGGGAGCTGAGGAGCCTCTCTGGCCACAGGAGGTGTCTCACAGGCAGCTGGGGCAGCAGCTGAGCTCTGGAATCCGATCTGCACTGGAAGCTGGTGGCAGGAAAGCTTTGGCAGAGGGAAGGCTGGGACCAGCACGGCGTGTGCAGCGTCCCTGCCTGTCCAGCAGTGACATCCAAGGCAGGACACCTGGCTCCAGCAGCTGCAGCTTCACAGTCCTGCCTGGCCCCAAATCTGCTCTGGGTGGGCATCCCCACTCTGAATGCTCTCTCAGGACGATTTCTGAGCATGCTGAGCCTGGCCTTGCTGCAGGCTCCCTTCTGGTGCCAGGAGCAGCATCAGCAGATCCAGCAGACCCAGCTCTCACTGGGCATTCCCAAATCAGCCCTCTCTCACCCAGTAGCTGCAGAAAATACAGCAACAGGATCTAATGCCAGCTCACCTGGTGAAGCTGGAGAGCCAAGTTGTGGAGAGAGTGTTGGCATCTATTTTTTTTTTTTTTTTAATAGGCGGGTTTTATTTCTGTGTATTTGGAAAGAGCAGGTTAAAAGCACAAGTCAGTGCTAAGTTAAAGCGTGCATACAAGAAATAAAAATAGCCTGGGCTGGGCTTGGTGGAGAGAAGGGGAGCTTGCACCATTTCCATTAAAAATGACATTTAAGTGGAAGGTGAGCTTGAAACTTTGACAGGACCATGTTCATCCCCTTTGGAGACTGCTCCTGCAGAGCCAGTGTAGAACAGCTTTCCCTGCTGATGATTTTTGTATCACTTTTGAGTGTGAGGAAGGCCCACTGAAAACAAAAATAACCAGAATTTTTTCCCCTGAAATACCCCTATCAAAATCTGCTCCTACAGAAAAACCAGTCTCCTGCTGGAGATCTCATTTAGGAATAATTGATGTGCTCCTCTTTCCTCCTTTCTGTGATGGAAAAGGGTATTAAAGGATGTGCTCAGGTGCCATCCTGTGTCTGAAGATGACACGGGATATTTGGGCTTTAATAAAGCTCAGTTCCTGCATTTTCCAGCACCTGCTGAGCCTCAAGGCTGGGTCTGGAGACATTGTCTGGGATGTGAGTCCCAAGTCCCCTGGGTAGCACTGGGATCTGGCCTTTTCCCACCAGGCTGGGCCTTGCCCATTCAAGGGAAATCAAGGGAAATCAGACCAAAAAAGTCCCGGAAAGGAAAAAGGTGCGAAAAGAAAAACAAATAAACAAAAAAAACCCCAAAATGACTGAAAAACCCTGTAAGCCCACACCTCCCTTCCTGTTCTCCATGGTTTGGAGAGGATGGTTTGGGGGGTGGGAGATCTGTTTTCACTCAAGAGCGGGTCCATCCCCACGGGCCCTGCACCCCTCTGTGCTGAGGTGGCTGCAGCCCAACCCACGGGCTGGGCAGAGCCCTGGGCAGGCACAATAACCCTGGGCAAGGTTCACCCTGCTCTGGCCAGAGCCAGCCCCGCCGAGCTCCCAGCCCGAGCAGTTGTAGGGGTCAAGCTGATGCTGACACTGGGGCCTTTGATTGTGTTTGATTCATGTCCCAACACCACTGGTAGGTCAGATGGGCTGTTAATCCAGATTCCCTTCCCCCTTCCACAGAGGAAAAAAAAAAGGAAAATGAGAAATAAGTTTAGTGGGTGACTTCCTAGCTCGCTTCAAGGCTTGTGGTGCCAGCTGGCTGCAAGCTTTGGGTGTTCAGAAGTGCATTTCCTCCTCCTCAGTTTGGTATTTTGGTTGTTTTTTGTTTGTTTGTTTGTTGTTTTTTGTTTGTTGGTTTATGATTTTTTGGGTTTTTTTGTGTTTTTTGGGAGTTTTTGTTGTTGTTGTTTGGTTTTTTGGGGGGTTTTTTGGTTTTTTGGTTTTTTTTTTTTGGGGGGTTTTTTTTTTTTTTTTTTTTTTTTTTTTTTTTTTTTTTTTTTTTTTTAGTAGCCTGCTGACTAAAATGCATTGGAAAGAAAAAGAATCTCAGCTGATGTGTGGAGCAGAGTCTGGTGGTGAGGTGGTTGTAGCCTTTTTCAGGGAACCTGGGCTGCCTGGGGAGCTGTGGTAGAAATGGGGTCTCTCTGCTTTGACGTTTGCATTTAATCCCAGGGATTCCATTTCCATCTAATCTTGGCAGCTGGAGGCTGGAGGAGGAAGGTTTGCTGTAGAACTCAGCATCACCACCCGTTTTCTGTCTGTACAGAGCTTTTGTCTGCTTGAATGTGCTTTTGCATGTGATAGGGGTTTTTTTTCCCAGCTGATAAAATGTATTTGTGCGATAAAATGTATTTGGTGTCACTACAAGGCCGGATAATCAGATTGTGGGTGTGCTCGGCCAGGACTCGGAGGGTGGTCAGGGGGACAGCCGCCCTGGCGGGCAGTCCCCGGGGTGATGCTGTGTGGCAGACGGGCTCTGTGATTCTCGGGATGCGGGATTTCCCCGGTTTCCCCAGCCGTGCGGGCGGCTGGGAGCGAGCAGGAGCTGTCACCGTGGATTTGGGAAGGAAGAGGCCGGGGAGCAGCGGCCCAGGGGATACCTGGGGCGCGACACCCCCGCTGGAGGCTGAAAATAGCGCCAGGAGGGCGCTGGGCTGGGGAAGGCTGCTGTGGGCAAATGACCAATTAGGGAATCTTTGTCAGATTCGGGAAAGCCGAGATAAGTCCCTTTTATCAGCCTATAAAAATACCACTTTCACTTATCTGGAGCTACCTACGCCGCCCAGCTGCGGGAGCCGGGAGGGGGGAGCGGAGCCGCTCCGCAGACAGAGGAGGAGTTTCGGATGCGCTTGACAGCCAGGGGGGTTTGGAAAACCCTTTTCTGCTGGAGAACGAGCCCTCTCCCCTCACTTCTCTTCCCCCCGGAGCCCACCAGCTCTCCTAGCCGCAGTCTGCCTGGGTGGGGAATCCAAATTTTCCCTTTTCCTCTTATTTTCACCCGTTTTTCCCGGTGTGATGCCGCGGGGGGGGCTCGGCCAGGTGGCAGAGGAGCCGAGGAGTTTCTGGGGCAACGCGGAGTGAAGAAGGAGCACCCACGGGCACGGGGGAACCACGGGCTGCTGGGTGGGTGGGAGCAGGCTCCAGTCCCCCTTTTGCACTGAAATTCCCGTATTTACATGGAAATGCTCAGATCCATCCTCCCCCCGAGGCCGTGCGTGGGGCTGGGTGTTTTCTGGACACCCCAAAAATCTCTTCCTGCATCTGTGCCTGTGCATCCGAAGGCGTCTCCGCCCGGATCCCCACACGCAAACAGAGGATCAAGACGTGGAGAGAGTGCTAACATGAATTCCTACTGTGGGAAAACATGCTGCACTTTGATTATTTTTTCTGTGGTTTCCAGGCTGTTTGGGCTGTAGGAAAACGAGCAGATAGAGCGTGGAGGGGGAAAAGAAACCCATCAGGCAATCCAGCTCTCAGCGCTGCTTTCTAGGTTTTTGAGAGGCTGGTGGGGAAGAGAAAAATGCGGGGAAAATATGGTTTTCGTTAAAAAAAAAAAAAAAAAAAAACCAAAAAAAAAAAAAAAAAAAAGCCAAGCAGTTTTGCTGGGTTGGAAAGAGGGCAGAGAGGCAGCTGTTCCCCCCTCGCCCTTCATCCCCCAGATCCAGGCCCGCAGCAGTCCCTCCTGCTATTATTGTTTTTTAGGGCAGAAAAAGCAAATCTGGCTGGCACCAAGTGAGAGCCTTGGCTGGCGTGGGGTGAAGTCGCCTCTCTTGGGGCTTGGGCAGGCAAAACTTTGAGCTGGGCTTTTTGTGGAGTCGTTTCTCTTTCGAGGAATAAACACGGGCATGGAGAGGAGCAGGACGCTGCCTGCTCAGCAGCGGTGCCGCGGGGCGCGGGGCGACCCTTGGGGGGGCTCGGAGAAGGGGCCCGGTACCTTTCGCACAGATTTGCTGGAAGAGCTTCCAAATTCTTTTCCAAATATAGCCCCGGGGCGGCCGCCCGGCTCGCAGCTCCTGCGGGTGCCCTTCACGCAGCCCAGGGGGACAGGCGCGACCCCGGCAGCGGGGAGGGAGCGGGGACGGGGTGACCCCCGTGGAAACACGCGTGGAAGCTGCAGGGCCCATCCCCATCGCTCTCCGTTCTCCCTGGACACCGAGCAGCCTTTTGTTTTGCGAGGGAATGGGCTTTTTTGTCCCTTCTGCCGCGCTGTCACCGCCGGTCCTTCCCCAAGGGTGGCACGGTCCCCGCTGCCCTGGCCCGGGCCAGCAAGGAGGGCCGAGGATTTCTTTTCCTATCCTGACCCAAATCTAGGAACTCCCACCCCAAAAGGCCCTGGCAGGAGGGGCTGCGTGGGGAGAACAGCGATGTGTCCACAAGCCTTCAGCTTTGGGGGGGGGCACGCGGCTTTGGGGACAGACCCCCTCCTTTCCCTCAGAATTCCCGTCCTGGAGTGAAACCCGGGCTGGGGGAAGGAGGCAGAGCCTGGGGGGCATCTGGGGTGAGGGAACCCCTCCCCGCCAGGCCTGGGAGCCTTCAAAGATCGTTTCCCCCGCGATAAATGGGATTTCCACCCGCACCCCCCCGTCCCGCAGCCCCTGGTTCCATTATAAAAGGCTCCGCTTGGGATATTTCACCCCCATCACGTTTTTATAGCGAGATCAAGGACAAACTTGTTGCGGGTCTTCGGGATTTTTTAATGTAGTTTCTTTTATTTTTTTTTAAATTTTTTCAAATTCTTTTCGGGGTATAGCTCGGAGAAATTTGCGGTTCTCCCGCCGCAATTAAGAGGCGGAGGGAGCGCGATCTTGATTGCTCCTGCTCGTTCTGCTCGCTTCGGAGGTGGGGAAGGGGAGGGGGAGACGGGACGACGGGAGGGAATTGATTTTAGATTTCTCTTTTATGTCGGGTCTGGTTTCTGGTGATTAAATTTCTCTCTTCTGTGGACTGAACCTCGGGATAACTGATTAATAACATGCCACTTGGCGCCAACACGGGGTCTCGAGGCCTTTAATCGGCAAGATGCACAAGAGAACAGAGAGAAACACAGAGCAGGACAAAACTCCACCGACTATTTCAGCCTGCTGCTCTCTGCCTCGGCGGATTTTTTTTTTCCCTCCCCCTCATCTTTTCAGTATTTCCTGCTAAACTCGTAAACTTTATTTGATTTACAGCTATTTCATGAACCTGCTTAAACTAACATGTGTTCCGTCTTGTCCGACTGAATCATAAAAACAATCTTGGATCCAAACGAGATTTTTTTTTTTTTTAAAGGAAGAAACGAGTTATTAATGACAGAAAATAGACATTGTCTTGAACGGCGGCTCCTCGGGCCCCCGCAGTGCGGAGGTTGGTGGCTCCTGTGCCCGCAGCCTGCGGGGGGACCCGGGCTCGGCTCCGCAGGTCCCACCCGGGCTCCGGGGGAGCTTTTTTTGCGCAGAGATTGGAGCGCTCCTTTCCCCTCTACAGAATTTTTCGCTGGAAATGAACGATTTTCAAGCCAAAATGAGCTGGTAAAAGCATTAACCCGCGGCCCCTGCGGTGGCAGCCTGGCAGACACACAAGGGGCAGGTAAACACGCCTGGCTGCCCCCCAGAAGTCCCAGGCAGGAACGAAACCAGTTCCAAAAATTTTCTCCAGTGGGGTGAAAGCAGGAATTTTTTTGTGCCCAAAACCACAGGACAGAGAAGCAGGTATCAACAGGAACTGTTGATAACCATGGAACAGGTATAAATCTATAGGATTGGATGGATGGAAGCACACGCGGGCTTATAAAAAAAAAAATCAGATTTACCACACCGAGTACTGACACCACCCAAATATTCAGCCCCGATTCCCACCTCTGCTTGTGTGGAAAAGCTCTCCAGGGAAGATACCTGCTACCCTCAGAATTAACTCCCTGACACTTCGGGAAGCAGGATAGGGCATCCCACTGCTCCCAGATATCGCTGATGACCCGCGGGGCTCTGCCCCTCCAAAACCGATTTCTCTGCTGCGCTCGGGTAGCTCAGGGCCCTGAAGCTGCAGTTTGGGACCTCACCCAGCCCTGGAACAAGAGAGGAAATGCTAATTTTTTTTTTTCTTTTCTATTCCTCCTGTGATCATTTTTTTGGTATTTAACGTTTTCTGAACACGCACACAAAAGAAATCTCAATAGCTCTTTGGGTTATTGATATAATCTGTATTTTTCCCGCAGAGATAAAAATGGATTTTAGGATGCTCGTGATACCGGTCCAAGGCCGAGCCCACAGCCACCCCCCGCCTCTCTGGGAGCGTCTCCCGCTCCCGAAATTCGTGGATAGCCGGGAATACAAAGGATAATGTGGATATCCAGAGCGGCCGCGCTGCGCTGTCGTTCGGCGTTATTTAGGGCAGGGGAAGAAAAGCGACCGGGGGCGAGAAAAGGGGGGGGGAAACAGAAAATGGGGAAGAAAAGAGGCGAGAGGGCTTGGAAAGGAGAAAAGAGGGAAAGAAAAATGAGTTGGAGAGAAAGGGAGGAAGAAATTCGGCCGGGATGAGGGAACTGGGGATGCCCGGGGGTTCCCCCCGCCCAGGGCTGCTCTCCCCGGGAGAGCGAGGGAAGGAAAAACATTCACAGGTGATGCTTTGAGGCTTTTTATCAGACACAGAAAAGATTCAAACCCTGCGGGATCGGGCTCCTTTTGCCACCCCCGCTCGCCCTCCAAGGTCAGGGCAGGATCGCTCTCAGGGAGAGGCACGGGGCGCTGAGGATTTCCCCTTTTTTGCCCCCATTTCGTTTCTGCCCAGGCAGCGAAGAGAGCGAAGGCCTTATCAGCTTTTATTTTCTCCTCGGGGCCGAGATGAGGCCCTGACTGACGCCCTGGTTGGGCAGAGCAGATCAGCCCGGCCGTGCCCGCGGGGGGAATGGAGCGGGGATGCCCCGTGCCAAAAAATCCCCCACGGCAATGGGCACGAAGAGAAATGCAGCACAATTCCCTCTTTTCCTGAGCAACACTGGGGAAAAACTGGGGAGGGGGTGGTGGACCCCTGTCTCCCCGGAGTCCCCTCCCTGAGAGATGTCTTTTGGAGGGATCGGGGAGAAGAGAATGGATCCCTTCTGCTCCATTGGGGATTAATTTGGGGATCCTCACGCACTGCTTGGCATCCAGGAGGAAAAGGGATCTTCACCCCACGCGTGGGAGGTGCGGAAGGGCAGCGCTGTGCCCGCGCCTCGCCAAGCCCTGCCTCTGCCCGGCTCCTTCTTTTTCATTTTCGTCACCGTTCCAAAGCCTGCAGCTCGCCTGGGAAATTAATGGGCTCAGGGAGGGGAAAAGGGTTTTAATTGCAATTTTTTTTTTCTTAAGGTAGCCAGAAGGGCGGGAAAAAAACCCCAACAAACTAACAAAAGCCAAATCCAAAACAACCGAAACCACAAACTGTAAAAGAAAAATGCTATTCACCTGTAATGCAAAAAAGGAAAAAAAAATTTAAAAAAAAAAGAAAAGAAAAAGAAAAAAGCTCGAGCCAGGTATCTACCCCCGAAGGCTCGTCTGAAGCAATTCTCCAGCAATAAATACAGGATTTTGTAATGGAAATAATGACACCACAGAACTGTATTGGTGGGACTTTCATACAAATATTTTGTTGATACCAACTCTCAGATCAGTGCAGTCAGTCCCTGCCCCCACGACTGAGGGGAAAGAAAATAGGAAACAATTGGGAGGAAAAACCCAACACATATTAAAAAAAAAAATACAAACCAATAAGTGAATGGACAAAAATGCTTCCAGAGAGGAGGATTATTTTAAACACTTGTTTGCTCCCAGGTGCGTATTTCGCCAAAGCGAAAAGCGGCCAACAAAAGGAAAATAAAAGCAAAAAGAGAACTGGTCCGAGAGGGGAAGTAAATTATCTAAAAATGGAAAGGAAAAATAATAATCCCTGCTAGGAGGGAGCTGATTTTCTCTGAAAATATGGCAAGGAGGAAAAAAAAAAGCGTCGGGAAGCCACAAGCGCTGATGTCTCTGTATTTCATAAGCCGGGCGGCCGCGCTGCCCCGTCCTGGGCAGGACGAGGAGCCGCGAAAGAAAAGCAAAAGCCTCTTCGATTTGGTTAAGCCGACCCAAAAAGTGATTTTAAAGGGGTGTGGAGGGCGGGCGGGGGGAGAGTGAGTTCACGCTCGGCACTATTTCTTACTGCTGACACCTCGACCCCACTGCGAGCCAGCACCCCGGCCATCCCCCTCCCTGCAGCTGCCCGGGAATTCCCGCAAGGAGAAAGCTCCGGGCCAGGGACACCCTGCAGGGGCCGTGCGGGGCTCCGGCATGCGGGGCTCCCCAGCCGGGGCTCCCCGCCGCCCGGGGCTGCCCGGGCCGGGTCCTGCGCGCCCCAGGAGCTAAAAAACCGGGAGGGAGCCCGGCAGGGCTGCGCGGAACTCGGGGGGACAGGCACGGAGCAGCCACCCCCACGGAGGTAAGTGCTCCACGGTGCTTGGGGCCGTGGCTGCTGGGGAATGCGTGTGGGGGATTTCTGTTTCTGGATTATATATAAATATATATATATATATGTAGGGACAGTGTGGTGCATAGGCGGTGCGTCCACGCCGATCCACTCGCCCGCCTTCTGCGTAGATTTGCGCCCACTCCCACTGAGCTGGGCGGAGGGTGGGGGTAGATTAAGGCTTGTGTGCACCTAAAAATCTGCCTTTAAACCCTGGGTAAAACGTAAATATCCATATAAAACCAATAGCGGATGGGGCAGGGATGGCTTGAGCTGGAGGAAACGCTGTTGGGCAAGTGTTTGTGAAGATCTCGTCACCTGCACATCCACGCGCGCGATTTTTGTGCTGTGCCTGGGGGTATTTCCGTGCACAAACAGCCACGTTTATTCACGAGGAACTCTTGGATCCCAGCACTCGTGCGGTCGCACTGCACGTTTAGTCTAAAGATATCAAATAAATAATACATGGAATACATGGGATAGAAAAATCGCTTAAAGGCTTGAGCGAGGAGGCATCGTGTGTGGGGGCGTGTTTGCAAACGGGGTGTCCGCACTCATACACGCACATCTGTACTTAAATACCTGTATTTACGTGTGTCTGTCCGCATTTCTGCGTGTGCTGGTCCTGTGCCCCCTCATCCTCCCGCTCCCGGCTGTGTCTCATTCCCCGGCAGCAGCAGCGGGATCCGGGCTGCTCCAGCCCCGGAGGCCGAGAGCGAGCGCTCCGCGATTCCCGTCCCTCGGGGCTGCGGGGGGACCTCAGGGGACACCGGGAGGTGATGCCGGCTGCGGGGGAGAATATTTCAGTTCTCATTTCGGGTGAGGTCTTATCCCGCTCCGCTGCCAGCACTTTGGGCGCTCGGTGCCAGCTGCAGAGCCACCCTCCTTGGGTTTTTCCCTTCTCTCGGGGAATTTTTCTCTCCATCCCGGATATTTGGGAGGACTGACAAGCACGGCCAGATCCAGCAAATGGGGGCATCAGGGTTAAGGGGGCCTTTCCCTCCCTAACCCACTTCCTTTTTATTTTTTTCCTCCATCCTTGCTGGTGATTTTCCTGCGGGCCTGGCTGCCCCGGAGCGCGCAGAGCTGGGCCCGGGAGCTCGGGGCAGAGCAGGCAGGGCTGGGGGTGCGGGGGGGCTGCCTCGGCCCCTCGGCCCGAGCAGGGCTGGGATGCCCGCTGGGAACTCACCTGGGCAGCCTCCGGCTCCCGCGCGTCTCCTCGCTCTTCCTTAGGCGCTGCTCTTTATTTCCCCGCTCCCTGCTTCTCCTCCTCTCTTTTTCTGTTGGAGGAAAAAACGCTTTAGCACTTTTTTTTCTCTGTCTGTGTATGTGTAATTTTTTTTTCCTTTTATTTTTCCTTTACTTTTTAATTTTTTTTTTTTAATTTGAGTGAAATCTTCCTTCTACCACCGCGTGTGCATCCCAAAATTTCTCCAAATTAAGGGAGAGCTGGGACACGGGGCAGCGACAGCGGCATCTCTGCAGCCACTGGCTGCACTTGGAGGGATCTGAAGGGGTTTGATTTTTTTTTTTTTTTTCCCTTGTCAATCTCATTTGGCAAATAATCGCCTGGACTTATTACTTTTTTTTTTTCCTTCCCTTTTTCCCCCCTATATTTTTTTATTTAATCAGAGTAAATAATTGGTTCTCGAAGCACACTCGAATTCGTGCAAATAGCCAGGTTATCATTTACTATATATAGCCCAGCGTGCTTGCTTCCAGAGGCGCCTGAGCGTTCATTGAACAAGTTTCCCGCTAGCTCTCACAGAATTATTTGTTTAGCAAAAGAAATTCAGCTGAATAATGGCAATCCCGTTGGATTATTTAACTTGTGGTGAAGAGGGAGTTTTGCTTCCGCTTTCCCCCTTTTCTGCTCCGAGGACGGGCGGGTTTCCCTGACGTTCCCAGCGGCTCCGTGCCTGCTCGTGTATGATACAAACCCCTCACACCCCCATGCCTAAGTCTGCCTTGTGAATATCTATATTTATATGTATAAACATACATCATGCAGAGGTCGCACGCACCCAGCCACGGTTATTTTGCGTTTCACCGAATGGATTTCTTTTGGGGAAAAAAAAAAAAAAAAAAAAAAAAAAAAGAGCAGGAATCTCTCTGACAGAGCTTTAAAAAGAGGAGAATAATACAAATTAACCTTCCATTACTGCTGCAGTCAACCATGACAGAATAGGCCAGTTGCGTGGTTGGTGACGTCTCCGTGTCCTATAGGAGCAAAGCTCGTGAGATAGCAGCTATCGCCTTGAACTCTCTTTATTTTATCGGAGTATGGCTGGTAATAAACAGTAATATTTAATTTGTCTGAGACCACAAACCGGCTTCGAGCTGGAAGGCTCCTCGTCTTGCCCTTCCACTCCTGGGGGAGCCTGAATTGGCCGTTCTTTTTTTCCCCAGCTGCCTTTTTTTTTTTTTTTTTTTTTTTTTTTTTTTTTTTTTTTTCCCCCCTTTTCCCCCCCCCCACAACCTGCAGACGGAAATAAATTCGATTTATTTGCATCGTTTTCAACTTGTCTTCAAGGTGTTTGAGAGCTAGTTTGGCACTGGAGAGGTGAGTGCTTTTCTAGGCAGCGGCCGTGCTCGGGTTCGCTCTTCCGAACTTCAGGATTTTCACTTCTCCCTTCCTTTCCGCCGAGGGGAGGGAAGCTCTTGCTCTCTGCGAGAAACCTTTCTCCTCGTTGCTTTTGCTTCTTTTTTTTTTAATTTTTTTTTTTTTAAGGAAAAACCCGCTCTCCTTTCGGGGATGCTCGCAGCACACGTGCGGCCGGCCGCGCTCCCCGCGCGTTTCCGCGGCTCCCCCGCACCGCCTGCCCGCCTGCCCCGCTGCCTTCCCGCACCTTCCCTCCGCGTTTGCAGCTCTCGGAGCAGAGCCAGGACCAGGGAAAGGCTCCGCGGAGCCTCCGCTGCCCGTTCGCCCCAGGCCGGGGCCGCTCCTGCGGGGAGAGGAGCGCCCGCTCTGCTGCCTCGTTTATTTGTGTTTGGAAGGGCTCCACGGCTCCTTTCCCCTCGAAAAATAATGAAATATGGGACAAGCTTCGCTCTGTTTGTTTAAGTAGCATTCTCTGGCTTATTCTCTGCGGCTACAAGTGCAGTTATTTTATTATTCTTATTTGCAAGCGTTTACTGTTGGCTGTTTCTTCTCAAGTAGCTGTTGGGACTGGCGTGCACATGGGAAGGGTTTGGAGATGCCAAACTACACCCGCGGACTCACCCCCCTCCCCGAGAGCCGCTAGCCCCCAGACTTTCCCCTTCCTCACCTCAAACTTTCAGAGGGCTCCGGTGTTATCGCGCCCTGCGAGAGCTGGGAGCGAGGGTGGATTTGCTGAAAACTTCCTCGAAACGCCAAAAAAAAAGAAAAAAAATAGAAGAAGAAGAAATTGTCTGAGAGGCAGAAAAGAGTGAGGGATTTTTTTTTTTTTTGGATGGGTGGGGGGGACGGGACAGAGCGGCGAGCAGAGGGTGGGGGCAGCAGCAGCAGCAGCAGGAGGAGGAGGAGGGTGGGCAGAGCAGATCTGAACCATGCCATTTATTCCGAGTCTTATCAAAAATCCGCCTCGCCAATCTGGTTCTCTTCAGCCTGCAGAATGCGACAGGGAGGCTGTTTACCCTGCGCTGACCTATTCAACTTTACCCTCCCAATAATACATTAAAAAAAAAAAAAGGGAGAGAGCGAAGGAAGATGCAGATAAACCCCCAGCCCCGCTCCTCGCTGACGGCTTGATTATTTGAGCTCCGGGGGGCTGCGGCCCTCGGCCGTGGCAGCGCGGCGAGGGTGAGGAAGAGGATGGCAAAGGGCAGGGGAAGGAGCCTGGATGCGGCCACAAGCGGGGACAAGGGACACAGCCCCGCGCACACAGCCCGGGGCCTTCGGTCCCGCTGAGCCGCGTTTTTTGGGGGGTTTGTACTCATTAGGAAAATCTATTTTAGGGGAACACCCCGCACCCCCCAATAAAAGGCCTCTGTGAGCACCAGCAAATTTAGAGCTGGGTTTAAATCCACACCTCCGGGTGCCTTTGAGGGCGGGAGGGGGAACTGGGGGTGGTGCGAGGTTAGCGGAGCCAGCGATTTATTTAGGGCTGGGGGGGCAGGATATTCCCAGACGCTGAATTTTCTCTTTGGTTGGGAGAGATGGATGGAGGAGGGAGGGAGGGAAGGAGGGAGGGAGCGGGGAAGGAGGTAAAGGAGAGGGGGAGGGTTGCTGCGGAGTTTGATGATTGTCTTTGTGCCTTGTTCTTGTTTGCCGGCCAGAAAAATAGGCTGGAAAAGGAGGTTTGGGGGGGAGGGGGCGGGAGGGAGGGCTGTGGGAGAGGGAGTCTCTCCGGAGCAGGATCCCAGCTGGTTGGGCAGTGGGTCCCGGCACTTGGCGAGCGGAGCTGGACGAGCCCACGTCACCTCCGCGCTCCGCTCGGCTCCTCCGCGCCCGCGCCCGGCTCCGCGCACAGCGCAGCGCCGCGAACCTGCCGGAGGAGCGGGGGTTACCAGCCGCACGAAACTTTTTTCTTCTTCTTTTCTTTTTTTTTTCCGAGAGAGTGCTGCTTTCTTTTTCTTTCGCCTTCGCGCGCTCTCTCTTTTTTTTTTTTTTTTTTAATTACTATTTTTAATTTTTAAATTATTTTTAGCTGGGCAGCAGCAGGAGTGGGCTGGGGAGAGCTGCATCAGATCAGGCTGAGAAAAGAGTGGGGGTGGGGGCTTTATCTTGGTCTCAGGATCCTTTCTAGTGCGTCTGACAACCTGGAAGTGTTTGGAGAGAGCAGGAGAGAGAGAGAGAGAGAGAGAAGCAGGCTTGCATTGGATAGATTTTTTTCTTCCAGGCTGGGTTTTCACATGCTGATCCGCAAATATAAATAAATAAAAGGAAATATGCACACGAGAAGCCTGATCCCATTGTAATTTCCATTGCAAACGGGGGAAAATAGAGCCACACATTATATATGTGGAGATGCATTGATTGCATGGAACTCAACGAGCAAGGTAACGGCTCTCGCATTGCCATGTCTGTCCGTCGGGGTCTGTCCGTGTGTGCGGGTGGTGAGCTGTGCACAGCCAGAGCGGCACCGGGGCTGCGAGGCCTCGGGGAGAGCAGCGGGGGCTGGGGGGGCCCGGGGCGAAGCCGGAACAAAAGCAGAGGGTGGTGATTTTATTCTATTTTATTTGATTTTTTAAAATTCCCCCCCCCCGCCCCTTGTGTTTTTTCCTCTCGCAAACCCACTCGGCGCTACTTTAGCAAAGCGAGATGCATTTTTCATCCAGCCACCGCGGCCTGGTTCTGTCAAGCTCCATTTCTTCTCAGAAGCTCTTTTAAGGGGAAAAAAAAAAAAAAAAGAAAAAAGAAATTAGAAGCCACGGATCGCCAAATGCTCTTAGTTGTGGGGTTATTTTTTGTCGTCACACCCTCTGTTTTTAAAATGAATATTTTTATATCTGCTTAATTATGTCTGGGCGCGGAGAGCATCGAGGAGGCTCCGCTGGGCTGGGCTGGGCTGGGCTGCCATGGCTGGGTCCCTCTTTGTTTTAATAAACATGCTTTAGGGTTTTTTATTATTATTTTCCCTCGCTCTACCCCCTAACCTTGCCAGCTCTAGGGGAATCATAGCTCCAAGCTGGAGGGGAAATCGATTACAAAATGCATAAGCAGCACTTCCCAAGGAAAAAAAAAAAAAAACACAAAAAAACCAAAAACAAAACCCAAAAAAAAAAGACACCACAACAGTCCAGGAGGAAAAAAAAAAAAAAAAAAAAAAAAAAAAAAAAAAAAAAAGGAGGAGGAGGGGAAGAGAAAAGCCTTAAATGGTCCCTGGAGCTGCGGCTCTGCCCCCACGGGCTGGGCCCGGCGCAGCGGCTCCCGCAGCGCCCCGCGCACTTTCCGCGCTTTCGCTTCGCCCTTGGGTCTGCGGCGGGTGCGAGCTGGAAAAAAAAACCTTTGGGAAGAGAGGGAAGGAGGGAGGGACCGGGCACGGGCCGTGCCTGCACGAGCTGCAGCTCCAGAGGTGCGGACCTGGAGTCCCCTCGCTTTTTGTCCTTTTAAATTATAAATCCGTCCTTGTGTGCGTTACCCGCCACCAGCGGGAAGATCATTTTCTGCCCCCTCCTTTCCACTCCCAATTTTCCTTCGCTTTTAAAGGAGAATTGCCTTTTTCTCGCTCTCTCTGCTCGATTTTGAACAGCTTTCAAATATCGTTGCAGGGCGAAGAACTCATTTAAAAACATTCTCATGTATTTAAATCCAATATTGCCTCCATATGGTTGGCCTTTCAAAACTGAATCCCCTTCTTTGAGACATGCAAGAAATATTTTTTTAAAGCAGCTAAAACTCCCAACTCCTTAAGAACAATAAAAACCTAACAGATAATTCAATGGCTTTTATCTTTTTTGGTGGGCTTTTTCTTTTCTTCCTTTTATTTTTTTTTTTTTTGTGTGTGTTGCTATGAAACTTTTACCATTCCTGATAGAGCCTTTAAAGCTAAGTCAAAATACAGTTTTAAAGCTCACTGCGGTTACTCACATCAGATATAAACCTTGTAATTTTTAAGCTCGTTTTCTCTGCTGGTGCAGTTTTATCCTAAATGTTCTGACTTCGTTCACTCCAGCCCCGATTCCACCCCCCGTTCACCAGCCCGAGTCCTCGTTACCTCTCACAGCGTTTGTCCGATTGATTTATTTGCACTTTTATATTGTAATTTTCTCGTCCATCCTTTGCTTTTCTTGTAACTGCCCGGGGTAAGAGAAGAACAGGCTTTTAACATTTTTCCTGTTTTATAAGAGGTGCAAGAAGTTGAGTTTTCCTTGGGAATTGGGTGCTAGAAGTGGCCTCGTGTGTCAGTGGTGTTTTCCTGCTCCAAACCGGAGCGGGGTGAAAGCTTCCACTTCCCTGGGAGGAAAGTTGGGACTTTCAACCCCCCGGGCCGCAGCGAGCCGGAGGAACTGGAGGTGGCCGAGCCTCGGGGGGGGGGGGGGCTCTGGAGCCCCCACCTCGAATCCCCCGACCTCCAGAGTCATTTGTGCCACGAGCTGCTCGTTCCACAGCCCCTCGGGTGCCTCGCTCCCCGCGCGCTGCCAGGCAGCCCTAAAACGCGCTGTTTACCTTTTCCAAAAGATGCATTCAATAATACCGCCTCCCCCTTCCCCTCCCTCCCCACCCCCCCGAGCCCCCCTTGAAAAGAGATATCCTGCTAATAGAAGCTAAAACCAACAGAGAGACACCCTACCTCCACCCCCAGGCCCCCCCCAAATCCTATCATCCCTTGCGGGCTGCGATAATAAATAAAAGTCTTTATTTCTCCCTCTGCCAAAGTTAAAGGGCCTTGCTCCCTCCCTGGGCAGCTGGAAGTGAGTGTTGGGATGGTCGGGGCAGCTCCGGCCGGCGCTCGGAGCCACCCCGCCCGACCCAAATCGATCTTTTATTAAACGTCAGCATTGACTCGTGCGTCTCTTATCTGTGCTCTCTCCGATGTGTGCCTGCAGTGGGGGATTCGGCGAAGGAAGCTCGTAACATGGCGGATGGCGAGGAAGGCTTCGGGCTGCCCAGCACGCCGGCGGATCCGGAGGCCAAGGAGCTGCAGGCCGAAGGCAAGCAGGACACGCAGCTGGGGGCCAGCAGCAAGTCGCCCACCTCACCGCAAGCAGCCTTCACCCAGCAGGTAAGCACCCACGCCGCTCCCCGTCCCTGTTCATTCGCCCATCTGCCCCTTTTCCCCACGTTTGCCCCCGCCCCAGCCGCCTGGTTGGGTGAGTTGAGCCCCCACGCGAGGGCAAAGCCTCACCTGCCCGTGGGGCTCGGCCTGCTGCCCTGTTATTCCAGGCCGTGCTCAAGCGCCAAAGCTGCGGGGATGCGGCCCTGAGAGTTTTGGGGGTGTGGAGGAGCAGGAGGGGAGCAGGACCCCAAAACACAGCGAGGGGAGCCCGCCCTGCAGCGGCACCCCCACACCCACCAGTGTCCGCGCCCGAGTGGAAAAATGCACGGGCGAGCACCCACGGAGCGGAGATGCCCTTATATCTGTATATAAATGTATATATTTTGTACATATCCACATCTGTGCGCCCCTTGCACACCCGGGCGGGCACAGCCGCACCCCGCACCCCCAGCGGGCACGCGCAGGCTGAGCCACCCCCAGAGGGACACTTGGGGTGTCCCCGATGCCCTCCCTCAGCCCTCGCCCCCCTGGCACTGCGTGTGCCGGGACACGCGTGGGCTCCGTGCGGGATCTCCGTGCTCCGAGCCACCCCTCGGCTTCTCCCCGTGCTGGGAGCTCCCAGCCCCGGGAGGGGAGAAATGCGGGGAAAGGAGATTTTCCACCGCGGTCCCGACTGTGGGGTCCCCAGGCAGGTACCCCCATGGACCCCGCTGCCCACGGGTGTGGCAGAAGGCTCGGCAGGGCCAGGGTGGGCACCGGGGCACCGGGGGTGTTTGGAAACGAACCCCAAAGTTGGACGGGGCTTTTTTAGTGAGGGGGAGAAGCGCTTGTTTCGGCTGGGGGTGTCCCCTGTGCCCCCCAGCCCGGGTGGAGGGATGTGCTGCCCCAACCGCAGGGCTCGCAGCTCTTGGGTGGGAAGAGAAAATCAGAGGGCGAGGGGAGCAGGGTGACACCCCGCGCCGCTCTAGCCTGTGGATCACCCGTGGGACGGTGCGAATCTCCTCCGCTTGGCTCTGGGAGCAGCCGGGGCATTTCTCTGGGAGGATGCGGTTGGAGCCGGCTCCGGGGGCTCCCTGCCCTCGCCCCCGTCCCACGAGCCCCGCGGCCTGCAGGACCCCGCTCCAGGCCTGCCCCAACAGCATCCCCGGCCTGGAAAACCCTCTGGCGGGGGTTATCCCGGGAATGCCCCGAGCTCCGGCCCGCAGAGCCCGGCCCTTCCCCGGCGAGGCCGTGCGGGGCCCGGCTGCCCTGGCGGGGCTGTCCCCGCTGCCCTCGGGGCTGTCCCCGCTGCTCTCGGGGCTGTCCCAGTCCCCTCGGGGCTGTCCCCGCTCCCCTCGGGGCTGACGCTCTGTGCCTCCCCGCTCCGCAGGGCATGGAGGGCATCAAGGTGTTTTTGCACGAACGCGAGCTGTGGCTGAAGTTCCACGAGGTGGGCACGGAGATGATCATAACAAAGGCCGGGAGGTAAGAGCAGGGGGGCTCCGCGGTCCCCTCCGTGTTTGCGGGGACGGGGGGACACACCCGCCTGGACGGGGGACACCGGGCACCTCCCTGGCACGGGGACGGTCACAGTTCTCGTGTCCGAGCCCCCCGTGTGTGTGTGTGCCACTGGCCGGCCGTGGAGAGCCCTCCCTGCCCGGAGAGAGGCGGCAGAAATTGTTTCTTCTGGCTTCTTTCTTAACCAGAACAGTTGGGTCATTAATTCCGACTTCAGGCCTTTGGAAACTTTCCAGGCGAACGCGAGTTGCAACCACTTGGCCAAAAAGCAAACTTTGTTTAGAGCAGCTCCGTGGGCCATTATTATTACTATTATTATTATTATTATTATTATTATTATTATTATTATTATTATTATTATAGCACTTTGGCTCTCCTGCTCCCCCCTCCCCCAAAGTTTTATGCCGTTTTACAGAGTTTTTTATTTCTTTTTGCTCACTCTGGAGCGAATATACCCATCTCAGCCACTTCACCCTTTTTAAAAGTCTAGGCGGTCTTAAGCTACTGTTTATAGAGAGATAACACGCTGTTTAGATGCAGAGATAGATGCGTCCGCAAATAAATATCATGTGGGTGTATTTCTATGCGGGTGTTTATCTGCGTGGGTGTGCGGAAAAATATGCAGCCTTGCAAATCCAACTTTATTGGGGTTCTAATCGGTTCCATGAGTGGCTGTGTAAACCTGATCCGCAGATATTTATATGTGGACGCGGGTGTTTTTGAGGGGATTTAACATTATCCTGGATATTAACGTGGTGGAGGGTTATTAAATTGAAGAGTGGCCAGCGAGACGCAGTAAAAAAGTCTCTCCAGTCCTAGCAACAAATTTGGGGCAGCCCCAGGGAGGATTTTTCGTTGTGGTTTTTCAATTAGAATCCTTGGAGAAAAAGGGAAAAAGCCTCCACGTGTAGGAACAGTTTCAGATTGTAGGGACACAATCAACAAGGCAGAATCAAACTTTCATTTTGCTCTGTCAGCTGGTATTTGTTGTGGTCTTCCAAAATTTGCCTGAAGAGGGAGGGGGAAAATAAATATCGAGCTGGTTGGATAAAGTTTTAGTGAATAGATGTCGCCTTCCCCTTGAACCTCGCTGCTGCGAAAATGGATTTGAAAGGGGTTTGTGGCCAAGGGGACATGGGATGGAGTCGGTAATGGGACCTCCCGAAAAAATCCGTTTTACAGGGACCAAAAAAAAAAAAAAAATCCAACTCTCGAGGGGAGACAGAAACCACCTTGCAGAAATTTCAGACCAAAATCTCTGTGGACAGAGATCTCATCCGGAGAGCAATAAAAGAGACGTTTACAGGCAGGGGCTCGAGGGGAGATGCGGGCTAGGTTTCCTTATTTGTGTCATTACCCGCGGTTCTTGTTGAAGTCCCTGGTCCGGCTGCTCAGGTGCTTTCCATGGAGTTACAGATTAATCTCCAGGTGGAATTTGGTTTATTCTCCCTAAAATTTAAAGTTCAACACCCGCTTCCTTCGTTGGGCGCTTTTCGTCCCCCTTCAACTTTTTAGAATCGAATTAAAGCCCAGCCCAGGCAGGATCCCGAACCACGGAGAAGAGCGCGGTATTTTTAGAGGTGTGGGACTTTTTCTTTTTGGATTTTTTTTTTGTTGTTTATGTGTGTTTTAAGTCCAGGGCTCCATTTTCATCTGCTTTATTTTTAAATATTTGGAAAGCTCGAACTAAAATAACAGCGTGGTTTAAGTGCCTGCCTTGTAGTAATGGAAAATATTTCGAAAAGCCCCTGCCTCGTGTGTATCCGAGGGTTTCCAGGGATTTGTCAGGTGTGTTTGCTGCTGTCTCGGGCTGATCGCAGGGCTGCTCACGGATTTTCTCTTCCACCTGAGTGCGTGCAGGTTTTTTGCTCCGCATCTGTTCCTAGAACCTCAAGGTGTTCATATAAATGTATTTTAAAATGTTTCTATTTCTACATGTGTAATACATGAGAACATATTTCTATAAATGTATACATTTATAGAAAGATATATAAATACAATTTTTATAGGAGTATCTATATTATAACTTTTAAAATAAAACATTTTTTTGGCCAATTTCCTCTCCTGTTCCAGCTGTTTATGGAGAGAGGGAAGTAACTTGCTTCCAAAAGTTCTCACGCGCAGATTTGTTCAAAAAACGAAGATTCAAAACTTTGGTGAAATAAATAATTAGTATAAATACAAATAGACTAGCAGACACACGAGGAGGTGAATAAACAAACCCGCCAGCCTCGAAATTCCGATTTTGCTTTGATAAATCACCCGGTTCGCCTCGGATGGGACCCAGCACCACCCAAATTTGTCCCACATGCCGGGGAAGATCCACCTGGGAACGTGGTTTAACCCTTTTGTTAAATGTTCTCCCCAATGTCTCCTCCTCGCACACGCACACGAAACCACCTTGGCAAACTTTGTTTTTATTTAATTATTTATTTATTTATTCAACAGGCGAATGTTCCCCAGTTACAAAGTGAAGGTCACTGGACTCAATCCAAAGACGAAGTACATCCTGTTGATGGATATTGTACCGGCGGATGACCACAGATACAAATTCGCGGATAATAAATGGTAGGCACGCGTGGGGGAGAGGGACGAGACCTCAGGGCTGCCCGGGGGGGAGAAATCCTTCAATCAGCGGCTCGTCCTTCTTTTTCCGTGCAAAATGCTGGGCTGCAGGAGGCTCACCTGGGAGTAGTGGGGTGTTCCCACAGCCCCTGGGAGAGAAATGCATCCAAAAAAAGGGGAAAAACCGCAGGAATTTTGTCGCAATTAACGAATCCTGTTTGACAATGAGATTATTTGCTATTGTGGAGCTGATGGTTTAATTATATTAAGGAAGGAAATATCGCCGGGCAGGAAAATCTTTAAGGATTGATTCGTTGCTCCGGGCCGTTAATTAGGGAAAGGGGAAAGATGGGGTTAAACGGGCGAGCGGCGAGAGCCATCTCCGACGGGAAAGGTGCCAAAGAGCTCAGTAATTCCCCGAGCCAGCCGTGCTGGAAATGCCTTTTCTCCCCGGCACGGGGTACCTGGCTGGGAGGGGACGGAGGGGCAGCTAGAACCCACAGGAGGAGCCCCAGAAAGGGAGCAGGAACCCCAAGAGGGGATGGCCGGGGAGCAGGAACCCATGGGGGGCTACGGCTGGGGAGCAGGAGCCCATGGAAGGGGATGGACGGGAGCAGGAGCCCACGGAAGGGGATGGACGGGAACAGGAGCCCACGGGAGGGGATGGACGGGAGCAGGAGCCCACGGGAGGGGATGGCCGGCAGCAGGAGCCCACGGGCCGTCCCCAGGCGGCCGCAGCTCAGCCCCGTGTCCCACGCAGGTCGGTGACAGGCAAGGCAGAGCCGGCCATGCCCGGCAGGCTGTACGTGCACCCCGATTCCCCCGCTACCGGAGCGCACTGGATGAGGCAGCTGGTTTCCTTCCAGAAGCTCAAACTCACCAACAACCACCTGGATCCCTTCGGACATGTAAGTACCGGGGCTGGGACAAGGGCATCGTGCTGTCCAGCACCCACGGGGTGTGTCCCCTGCCACCGAGAGCGTGCCAGTGTCACCCACCCTCAAATCCAGGGCTGCTGGGGTGTTGTTTCACCCCTGAGAGAGCGGGATGAACCCCCAAAAAAATAGAAGCATAAACCTTAAAACCGGGTTGTTTCGTGGGAACTGATGACAGACCCCCGGGACCTGGAGTCGGCGAATGGGTGAAACTCTCCTGGCTTGACTGAGTATTTGGTCACCCTGATTTTAATCGCATGGCGAGTCCCCAGTCGTTAAAATCCGCCCGCTGCCTCCGGGAATTTGCCTAACAGGTAAAATCAATCAGGCATAATTAGCGGAGGAAATAGGACCTAAAACGATGTGGATCCCTCGATCAGAAGAAGGAAAAAAAAAAAAAAAAAAAAAAAAAAAAAAAAAAAAAAAAAAAAAAAAAAAATTAAAAAAAAAAAAAGGAAAAGTAACAATAATTAAAGACAATTAGAGAACTTGAAGTCCCGCTAGAACTTCTAGGGCATTAAAAAAGTTTTTGCGAGACTCGTGGGGCCGTGAAAATTTGTGTGAATTCTGCAGCCAGGAACAGCCCTCCTTCGAAGGTCTCCAAAGATGCGAGTTCCTCTGAGCAAATATATATATGCATGTAAGAATAAAATATATATATATGTACATATATATATATATAATATATAATTGAACGAATATGTGACTCCAGATCCCGCCAGCCCTTTCCAAGAGTGGATTTTTCTCCAGTCTCGTTTCAACACTTCAGTTTCATTTTTTCCAAGCTGTTTTTTTTTTTCCTTCTTCTTTGCTTTTTAATGATAAATTTTTTGCTATTAAATCCTCGCCCACGTGGTAGCCAAGAAGTGAGAAGGCTTTAGGGGAGAGGAGGCAGCAGAGTCCCCAGCCCACCCCAATGCTGAGCATCATTTACAAGCTCTCCTTTGCACCTCCATTTGCGGCGGTTGATTTCCTTTTTCTTTTTATAATTCGAATTTTATTTTAATTCTAATTGAGCTGGTGCAGAAGGGGTTTGCAAGGGCTGCTTCCCAGGGATCAGGACCTTTCCTGCGGGAAGAGGGAGGGGAGCAGCGCAGCCGGGGGAACCCATCCCACCCCCGGGGTGCTTTTGGGGAGAAGGGGGGGATCCGGCCCGGGGGAAAGGGGCCAGGCATCCCTGCTGGGAACAGGCGGCTCTGGGGAAAAAGTCCCTCCAAACAAACCCAAGACGCTGAGGGGACAATAAGGGACTTCAGAGGAGGAGCTGCGCCAGGAGCCTCTCAATTAGAGTCGCTGTAATGAAATTAAAAACCATTAGATCGTTCACCGTTGATGTCTACGACTTTCCTGGATGTCAAAGCAATTTGCTTAAACCCCCGGGACGGGGGAGGCGGCGGCGGGACGCGCTGCGTCTCGCTGTCGCCAGGGTCCGGCAGTCATTATCGGGCCCGAGCGGCCCCCCGCCGCCGCCGCCGCCCCCCATCTCCCCCGGGATTAACCCGGTACCGAGCAGGGCCCGCTTTTTATCTGGAGCACCGCGACAGCCCCTCCCGGCTCCGCCACCGTCCTCTGCGGGTGGCTGGCGGGAGGGATGTCCCTAAAGCCCCGAATCCCTCCAGATCTCTTCCCTCGCCCTTTCTTCACTCTTTACCCCCCTGCGATGGGATGGGCGTGTTGAGATGCCCCCATTTGCCCCCATCACGTGTTGGGGGAGCAGCTCTGGTCCCCCCAGGGGTTTGTGTGGACGGAGCAGGGCTGGGGAGGGGGGAGCAGGTGAGGGAGCGCCTTTGACAGCACCCGGCCCTGCTGGGCTCCCGGGCGAGTTTGTGCAGAGATCCGTGCCCCTACCCCAGCACCTCCATCTGCCCCTCCAATGGGCTCCTGAAAAGGGCAAACATTTTGGGGAAGGGGCTGCGGGTTCCTGCTGGTGTGTGTCCTTCTCCCGTGGGAAGGGGGGGATGCGCCGTGCTGTGCCCCCTCCATTCCCACGGGATGTTGTCTCCTTCTCCTCTGCCCAGATCATCCTGAACTCCATGCACAAATACCAGCCCCGGCTCCACATCGTGAAAGCGGACGAGAACAACGGTTTCGGCTCCAAGAACACCGCCTTCTGCACCCACGTCTTCCCGGAGACCGCCTTCATCGCCGTCACCTCCTACCAAAACCACAAGGTGAGGGGCAGGGCCGGCCCCCGCCCCGCAAACCGCATCCCGCTCCTCGCCTCTTCCCGCTGCTCTTCCTGAGAGACTCAGCCCCTCTTCCCTCCCTGCTTCTTCTTTCAGCCCTTCTTTTTCTTTCCACTCCTTCTTTCCTTCTCCTTTTTCTTTCCTTCCCTCTCCTTTCCCCTTCTCTATTTCCTTTCCCTCTTCTTTTTCTTCTCTTTTCCTCCTTCCTTATCTTCTCCTTTCCCCCTTGTCCTTTCTTCTTCTCCTCTCCCCTCCTTGTACTTTTCCTTTCCTACTCTCTCCTTTCCCCCTCCTTTTTCCTCTGCCTTCCCCTTCTCCACTTCCTTTCCCCCTTCTTTTCCTTCTCTTTGTCTCCTTCCTTTTCTTCTGCTCTTCCCCTTAGCCTTTCTTCTCCTCTCCCCTCCCTGTACTTTTCCTTTCCTTCCTTCTTTCTCTTCCCCTTTTCTTCCTCTCCTTGTCCTCTTCTTTTTCCTCTCCTTGTCCTTTCTTCTTGTCCTTTCCTTTCCCTTGCCCATTTTCCTCCTCCCTTCTCCCTCCTCTCCCTTCCCCTTTCCTCTCTCCCATCCCCATCCCATCCCTTCTGTTATTCCTGGCCACACAAAGCATCCAAAGCCGGGCTCGGGGCGAGCCGGGGAGGGGGAATGAGCTCACCAGGATGCTTTGCTCACATGGAGACGACCAACCGAGGAAGTTTGCTTTATCTTCCCCCCTCCCCATGGGTCAAAGGCTCCTAATCTGGAGGAGGGAGCCGGGCTCTCCCCTCCGCGGCCGGGCGCTGATAACCCGGCTGCCCACGGGGGGCTGCAGGCTTGGCAGCCGGGAGGCCCGGCCAGGAAAGGGAGGCTCAGCTCCCGAGATCAGGCAAACAAACCACGAAAATAACGGGATGGGTTTGTCTTCTGCTGGATTAGAAAAGGGTTGGGCGGAATAAGGGTTTTCTTGGTGCTGTCGTTGCCCTTCTGTGAGGAGCCCGCTGCTCCCGCTCCTTCCCTGCTTGGGGCTGGGCTTCCCCACCCAGCAGGGGAGGAGGAGGAAGGCTGAGTGTTGAAGGCAGGGTGGTTTTCCACAGGGATGTCTTTCACCAACTGTCCCTTGCCACAGCCCCATGAAAACTCAATTTCTTTCAGCAAAAAAGCAAATTCCTCTCCTAATCACATAAAAAGCACTCACTATAAACCTGTGCTTACAGGCAGGTAGGATGGCTCCTTTGTACCCAATTTCTCAAACAGAGAAAAGTCTTTTAGCACCCAAAAAATCCTGGATGCTTTCCTGGAAATGCAGGTTCCTAAACCTGTGTGAAATTATTGCATTTCCTCCATCCAGCAGCTGACCAGCAAGATGCAGAGAGCAGAGCTGGGCTGGAGAAGAAAGAGTGTTCCACCATAACTAGGGAGAAAGGAAAATACTTCCCTGCCCTTTAAAATAGGAGCTGCTGGCACGGCTGGGACAAGCAAACAGAATCCAAATTGAGTCCTTGCCAAATTATGCCTTAAATTATAACTCCACTGTGGATGCTATAAAATCAAGTTTAACTTCTGCTTGATGGATTTGCAGAAAGAATATAATATTAATAGAAGTGGGAGTTAATAAAACAGGACACACTGCCTGCTTTAAAGGCATTTCCCGAGCAGAAAACAGACGTGAATGGAACTGCTCTCCTTTGAAGAAAAACGGGGCTGGTTTATAGGAAAAGAAATGATCATGCAAATAAAACGAAAGCAAAGCAGGAACATGTAAGTACAGTAGTTTGGGAAAACTGCCATGCTAGGAGGAGCAGGAATATTTGATTGTAAATCAGCAACATCTGTGTGATAAGAAATGACATCTGTGTATCTGACACAGGCAGGAATCCCCACAGACACACCAGGACACATTTTACACACCCCTGACACATTTTACAGGCTCTGACATCCCTCTGCCCCCTGACACACACATTCCTCCCCGTGCTGCTTGCAGTCAGGGGGGGAACAGGGGAAGAGTGGCTGTAGCCCCAAGATAAAATCCCAATTGGAAAAGATTGAGCCATAAAAAGAAACCAGGGGATGATCTTCTCTGAATGGCATCTCCCTGCAGGGAAGGGAATAAAAGCTGCAGCTCACCCCAGTGCAGACAGGGAATGATATTGGGGTTGATGCAAATGCCAGGGAGAAACATCCTCCAGCTGAGGTGGCTGAAACTGAGTTGGGGTCTTTTCCACCAGCTGAAACCCGAGCTCAGCTTTCACAGCTGAGAGGTTGCTTGGAAAACCAGATTTTCCTCTTGTAGCACAGGCTGCATTTCCCCCAGCCATAAAGGATGGCAGCCCCCCACATGTGGGGCACCCCCAGTTCTTGCTGTCAGCGCACTGCTAATTTCTTTCCCCTTTTTCTCTCTCACCTTCACCCCTCACCTGTAGCTCATCCCTCATGCAGTCTTTCCCATCCACCCCACCCAGCCTCTGACATACTTTACACAGAGTTGTAAATGTGTGTGTATTTTACACACACACAAAAATTCATCCCTGCATGGGGTTTAGGTTTCAAGAGCTCTGTTCGAGCTGAATTCTCTTACAGAATGAATTGTGTGACCCACCCCAAAATGCATTTGAGTCCATGCTTCCACAGCTTATAGAAATACCTGCCTGCTTCCAGATAGGTCAATTTATTTCAAGAGCACAGCTGCAATCCCAATGTAGGGCTTGTGCTTATTTCCCCTGATATTTTAGACAGCCTGAAAAGATATTTAAGCACCCTGGGATCTCCCTCTCCTCAGCCCTACTCCCCAAAAAGAGGCTTAAGCTATGAAGAGAGTTTTGGTGAAATTTTCAGGGCGGTTGTCAGCAGCTCCATTGGTCACCTCCCCCCTCTCTGCTACCCTGAAAAACACCCCAGAAATATCGAGGTGTTAAAAAAGGTCACATGCACATTTCATTTCCTTGCCATTTACACAATGGGTGCTTGCAATCAGGTTGATTCCCAAATATTAACTTTCCCTGCAGTTAAGCACCATTTTGCTGTAGCTTAAATCATTGTGTTACTGGCTTGTATTTATTAGGTATGAGCTCTCTGCTTAGGACCAGGAAATGAACCTAATAGACAGAAATAATTAAGGTTCTGCCCTCATGAGGGTTCTTTCAAAAGCAAGAATTCACAACAATTATTCTCATTAATTTTTACAACCTACTTTTCCCCCCTTAGCTGGACTTGGACTTTATATTGGTTCCCCCTCCTCAGGATATCCGGTTTTATGCTGATTTTTTTCCCCCCACCCTAAGTTATTTAACATTCTTGGTAGCCAAAGTTCTTTTAAGGAAACATTAGCCCCAGCTGGGATGTTACACACACCCAGAAATGCTGTGTGCACCAGGGAGGAGCAGGGCAGGACATGGCCAAAGACTGGATTCACTGCCAGATATCTGTTGGGATTTCTGAATAGAGAGGTTCATCCTTCCCCTAAAAAGACCCAGTGCTAAAATCATGCTGGTGAGTCAGCTGGTGCTCCATTCTGGGAGTTCTGGAGAGCTGCCTGTCCCCTCTGAGCACGTGGCTTCTTGTCTCTGTCTTTGAGGGCTGGAGGTGGGCAGGTCCTTGGGGTGGGGTGTTTTCTCCTGAGAGCTCCATTTTCCCTGTCTTAGGTTGCAGGTGGCCACGTCCACCACTTCAGCAGAGGCCACCCTGCCCTGCCTGGGGTCATTGTCCCTTTCTTTCTCCATCTGGCTGGCAAGAGGGGACAGCCCCTCTCCTTGCCCAGGGCAGACTCTTCTCCAAAGAGGGGTCCCCCAAGTGCTGGGAGAGGCAGAGCTCCCTGGGGCTAAGCAAGGTGAGACAAGTAGCTCCTCTTCATCACCAGACCTGGTGGCTTCTGTGCAGCCCTGGGGCACCTGAGGGTACCTGCAGCACCTGGGGCACCTGCTCTCTCCCTGACCCTCTCTGGGGCTCCTCATGATCCTTACTGCTGTTCCAGGCCTTGGTGGGACAGTGCTTCCTTCCAGGGGTCTCATGCCCTTCACAACTCTGGCTGAACCAGCCTCTTCTGTCCCCAGTCTTGTCCCTGCTCCCTGCCAGCCCTGGGATGGGGTGCTCAGCCAGCCCTGAGCCCCTGGACCCTTTTGGTCCCCAAAGCAGCCCCTCTCCTCAAGCTTGGCCAAGAGCCCCTCTGGATCTGGCATCCATCCTGCCTGCAGCCTCATCTCCTTCCCCCAAAACTCCGTGCCAGGTCTCTCTTTCCATCCTTGGTCCTTGTGCCCCGGTTCAGGCAGCAGCCTCCTCACTGAGCCCCTCTGTCTCACCCCAGTACCTCCAACCAGCCTCCCAGTCCCTCCCATTTCCTTCACTGCCTTTGGGTTCAGCATCTTCTCCCCTCTGCCAGCAACTCCCCCCATCCTTCTCCTGGCCTTTACCCTGGGCTCTGAGTTCCAGCTCCCCATCCAGCCCCTCTGCTTGGCCCACATCTCCCTGGGCTCAGCAGCCACCTTGTCTGCATCTGTTTCTCTCCTCCCCCTTGTCTGGTCTGGCTTCCTCCTCCATCCTGCCTTGGTTCCCATCTGGGCTATGTGAGAGCCAGGCAGAAGAAGTCTCTGTGCTCCCCACCCCACGGGAGCCTCCCGTGGCTCCCAGCACTGCCAGCTCCAGCGGTGGCACAGCTGCTCCAGGTCCCTCTCTGTCACCCTGAGCAGGACCACAGGCACCTGCAGGCCAGGGAGAAATGGATCCTCATGGAGAGGGGAGGACCATGAGTGGTCTGCACTCTCAAGGGTGATCACCTGCACCTCTTCATCACTAAATGGTGATTTCCTCCTCCTGCTCCCCCCCCCACCACCAATCAGTTTTAAGTTCTCCAAGTAGACCTGAGTGAGAATTCAGAAATTAAGAATTCACATTCCTTGCAGAACATTCCTTTTCCAGAATGCCCAACCCTTCTTAGTTTCAGAGGAGCCCACAAAGATCAGGATGTATGGTTTTCCCTTAGCTTAAGTGCTTAAAAAAAAGAAGTTGATAGCAAAATTTGTAAATAAAATAGAGCCTGCAGCACCTGGTGTGGAGCACATCCCCTCTAACAAAGTTTAAACTTTGTTACAGCTTCTAAAGTGAGAAACAATTGAGTTTTGATTAAGTTATTGATAAAGATTAATACAAAATGGTAGTTTTGATTTTGGCCATAATGATATTCGTGAGCCCTTAGGCACAAATCCCACATGTCTGTGGAAAAGGAAAAAGAAGCAAAGCATCTTTCCTCAACCCAACTCAATGCAAAGCTAAATTTTGTCATGCTGGAGCTAAGGCTGCTGTTGGGAAGGTCTCAGCAGAAGAGCTTTGTGGCCAATTAGCCCAGAGAAAGGAGTGCAGGGGAGCAGCCCAGGGATTCCTTTGGGATTCCCAATTCCATTGGGAACTGTCACTTCCCATTAAAGTGAAGATGAACCCATAGGTCAGACAAGCCCTGAAAAGTGGAAACCTGGGAGGCTTCACCCTGCAGAGCTCTGCTCTCCAAGGGTCTGTGGCAGCTTCAGAACCAGTGAAGCTTTGCCGTCAGTAACAAACACACAAACAAAGCCCTTCAGTTTTATTGAACCTGTGCTGTACAATTCAGCCCTGGGCACTCTGTCTTAATGACCTCGCAGGACGTTGTATTCTGTTTTATTTTTCATGAGGTAATTGTCATTTGACTTTCTGACAGCTTTTCTTTCCCCCTGCCCCCCGTGAGTTACAGTCAATTAAACTCAGTTTTGCTGTGGCAAAGCTGATCCAGAAGAAGGTTATTTCCACCCCTGCGTTTGCTTTTCCACCTCTAGAATCGTTTGGAAGTCAGGCAAAAAAAGTGGCCAAATGAAATATCTTCCACAGGTTGTTTGTTAAAGCAGGGATTCACCAACATTTTCTCTGTTTTCTAGTTTGTTGTGTACAGCTTTGTTAAATCTGGCTTGGGCTCTCCTGGCTTTGTGGTGGCTGATGCCATGAGGTGTCACCTGGGGAAACTTTGTTCTGGGAGCTCCAATCCATCTGAAGGACACCAAAGGTCCGAGAATTAATTCTAAACCTGTAGTCCCTGGTTATCAGATGCCTTCAATCCAGCAGATCCTTAATTTTAGGGAGGCTGAAGTTGGCTGTGATTCTCTTGGGGCTTTTGGCCACCAGCACCAACACCTTCGTTTGTAAGTGTGTTCCTCGTGTGGGTTAGGGGACTTCTCCTAAATCACCAGATTTGCAATATTGAGGTCCCTTTCTGATATTTTGGCTGCTATTTCGTGGGTCATTAAAAGCTTGAAGAATCAAACGGGGCATTCAACTGAGGGGCTTAAACAAGGGGCTGGAGCACTGCTGTCTCCTCCTCCAGTGACCAGAGCGCACTGGGGACCTGTGAAGGCACTGCCACCCACCCCAGAGCCCTCTGGCAGTCCCCATGTCCCTCCCTTGATTCCAGCAGGGAGCTGAGGCTCCCAGTGCAGGCGCCTTGGTTAAAATGCCTTCGGTCAGCTTGGGATGAATCTGGCCCTTTGTGCCTTTGTGTGCTGGTGCCAATCCTGTAAATCCTCACTCACTGAAGGACTTCACTTATGTGAGCAAATATTGCCATTGGGGTCGGCAAGGGAGGACAACTCCTACATTTACAGGGCTTCAGGAACATTCAAAATGTTGAATAATGCCTATTATTCATTCTAGAAGAGTCACCACCTTCAAACCGATAGGCAGTTGCTTTGCAAAATACACAGCTGGTTGTGTAATAATTCAGGGCTTTTAATTACAAAATGCACCTCTGTTTTATTGCTAGAGAATGGCTCAACTGGCAAATTGACCCCAAAAGATTGTTTGTTTACCCTTCTCTTTGAAATCTGAAATGAGGGACAAAAAAAAAAAGTGCCAGAAGTGCCAAGGGCTTGTTTATGTGCTGAAGTATGGTCCTGATTTAATGGGAATGCCTGTGGAGATAAGTGTAAGTGTGGTGGGGGGCTCAGTGAGAAGTTTGGGGCTGAATGAGGCAAAAATGGCAAATAAACAAGCGGCCCTTGGAAAAAAATATGCAAAAAAGACAAGAAAAGAGCAAAATAATCTGGTTGTGCATACACCTGGCGAGGTTTGCTATTGACACTGGGTGAGCCAGAGTTTCCTCTTTGGATTTTGGCAGGGAGGTGGGCCTGGTTGTTTGTGCTTGACTCGGTGAGCATGAACCTCTCTCTGTTCTCCCTCCGTTGATCCTGAGCTGTTTCCTTCCCCTTGGCCAGCTCTCAGTAGGAAGGAAGGACGGGGTTTCCATAAAACGTGGTGAGAGAGTGAAGCTCCTCCAGTGGCAAACACGGGGTTGTCTTCCCTCCTGGGCAAGTGCCTCTCCTGATTCCTTGCTGAGAGCAGGCAGTGATGGAAAAAAGAGGGGGAAAAAGGGAACTTTCCCCTCTTCTGCCCAAATGTTGGGGCTTTGCAGCAATATCACACCTGGTCCAGGCTCAGTCCTCTTCTGCCAAGGCACCAAAGCACTTGCATCAGATTTGGCACGGCAGAGGGAGTTTTTACAAAATCCACAGGGCAGCTGAGGGTGTTGCTGGTCCACAATGAATATTGGCTTAAATGACAAGCCCTGCTCACCAAAACCCTCAGGAAAAGTAGTGCATGAGGGGACTGAACCTCTTGGAGCAGCACAGTCCCTTTGGGTAAGGGCATGGTCTGTCTAGAAGCTGGTTTAAATGTTAAATTTAGATGATTTAAGAGGACCAAAGTTGAGACTGAGGGGATTAATCTGGCTAAACTTTAGACTCTCAAGGTAGCTCACTCAGTGAGCAAACTGGAAGTGATGGGGAGACAAAAATCCTCTTGGGTTTGATGGTCACAGGTGAAGTTGCCCTCAAAGTAATTTAGGTAATGAGTCCATGCAGTGCTGCCAGCTGGGGGGCAGGATGGCACATGCAGAGCACCTGGAGCACATTTAGCTGGTCTGAAACAGCCAAAGGGTGAGATTCACTGGGCTGGGAGAGAGGGTGCAGGGTCTGAGAGGTGAGGTTTTGGTCTTGCCTGTGCACTGGTGAGAAAATACTTGGGATTTGTTCAGATCCATCCCTGGTTCTCTGGGCAGTGAAGCCCTTTCATTCCCAACAGCAAAATGAAAGTAAGAACTCTCAGAAAGCAGATTTTCTCCAGAGAAAAATGTGTGTGAGCAGTCCCACATGTTAGCTATGGGACAAGCCTGGGAGAAGCGAGAGGCTGTTGACAGGAGATATTTTTCCTGTGGAGGATTCCAGGGAAAGGCCCATCTGGAGTGGCCAGTGCCTGAGCTGAGGGATGACTGGAGTTCCTGCAAGCTGTATTTTCCCTCCCATCCCTGCCTTGGGTTTACTAACTACTGTCCCCTCTGTCCAGGCCTTGGGCTGGCCATGACCCTGGTGTGTTTCCTCCCTTTCAGATCACCCAGCTGAAGATTGAGAACAACCCCTTTGCCAAAGGCTTCCGTGGCAGCGACGACATGGAGCTCCACAGGATGTCCAGGATGCAGAGGTAACGTGTGCCCCCCTCATGGAGACCCTCCCAGGCTCACCAGAGCCACCTGGGCCTTGCTTGGCACGTCCCTCGCAGCCTGGCCTGAGCCAGGACATGGTGCCACTCCCTGCCTTGGCATCTGCATGGCTGTTCTACATCAGGTTCTTGAAGTATTCCCAGGACATGGGGCCAAAATCTTGGACCCTCTGCTGCCAGGGGAATTCCTTAATTGCTGGGGGGCAGAGGCAGGACCTCACTTGTGGGCTGCTGTCTTGGCCACAGGGACTTTGCATTTCTTTCAGACACGTCCCCATCCAGAGCAGCCTTTAGCTTTGTGCTAAACTCTCCTCTCTGAGGCTGCACGTGGACTTAGACCCACTAAAAACTTGGAGCAGCTGGGAGAAGCTCTGGCCATCAGGCTACTGTGGATGAGCTCCTGAGTTCCTTTCTCCCAGTGCTTTAAAGACAAAGCTCCCAGCCTTGTTTTGGGAGTGGGGTTTTTCAGGTTGCTCCAGCTGCCTCTGGAGGTGGTGGTGGAGAGTCCTGTGCTCTGTTGTTGCTGGCTTTGGAGGGGCTTTGGCAGGAGGAGATTGTTTGCCTGCTCGGTTCTGGATGTGCAGAGCAGGAGCAGAGGTGTGGTGGTTTCAGGTTGAAGAAGGAAAGGTTAGAAAATGTTGGGATCTCCAGGGCCAGGTGGCTGAGGAGACCTTTCAAATCTCGGGTTTGGCTGCAAGTACTTAAGCTGAAAAGCAAGCCTAAATCTTGTTTGAAAATCCTGTTTAATGTCCTTTTCTAAATGTCAGGCCCTGCTGGTAATTAACTTTGTGCTTTTCCCTTCACTTGGAACTTTCTCCATGTGTCAAGCTGCTTCCTGGTGCAAATGTTTTGCAGGAATGGTGCCATACCCACGGTTCTAACTAAGACAGATGGAGATTCTCAACAGAGCATTTTCCAGGAGGGGAGGAGCCACTCAGATCCTTTATTCTCTGGCTCCTGCTGGAGGGACCTGCTTTGGGACCTTCTGATGGGAGGGGTTTTCCCACTGCCCACCCAGGAGCCACCTGTAGGTGGTCACTCTGGTTGTTTTAGTTGATGATGTAAGCGTGGCTCTCCATAGAAAGGAAAATTGTGCTGTCAGGCACCAAATAATTCCTTCTATCCTGCAAACACGCCTGGAACTCACCCAAACTGGGCAAATGTCCTCCTGTGTACAAACATGTTCAGACTCAGTCCCAGAAAAGCCAAGATAGATGTATAAAAAAGGTACAGGCAACACTTAATCTGCTCCATCGAAATCATCTCCGTGGGCTCCTGAATGTGCCCTGTGTTCCCTGCCTGCCCTTTCCAACAGATCCTGGCAGGATCTGTCAATATTTATTTATTTATGGTGGCACTACCCCTTGAAATAGCTCCCCCCACCCCGTGCCAGTCTCCCAGCCTCTACTGGAACTTGAGTGATGATGTGTTCTCCCCCGCAGCCAATATTTTTTTCTGCTGCCAAACCACCCTTTCATTGCAGTCGCTGGAAAGATTTGAAGGTTTGGATTCATGGGGGGGGGGTGTTGGAGCAGGAGGGAGGAGGTGGAACAGGGAGGACTCTTAGGAAGGGCTCGATGCCATATGAAGAGCATGGCATCAAGCCACGCTGAGCCCGTGCTAAAAATTGATTGGCATTTTTATGCAGGAGCTGCGGTCGATGATCCAGGGAACAGAAACACTTGGAATATATAAATACACCCACTCAGGCCTGGCAGGGCTGGAAGGGTTAAAATCCTTGCCTTTACTGGATAATTTCTGATGTTCATTTTAATAACTTAGCAGAGGAATGGCTGTGTGCCTTTACAAAGGTGGCATTTTTTTTAAGGGAGGGCAGGATAAGATGATTATAGTAAAATAAAGACCCATTCAAGGTTGCAAATATGTGCCCACCTTTGTGGCTTTTTTATGTAGATATATGAATATATTCAAAATTATATATGAAAATATATAAAACCATATATAAAATCAGTTATGTATATAAATAAATTGTAGCTATAAAAAATAGGTTTGTCTATGAGATAAAGAACCATTCAGCATTGAGAATGTTGCAGAACTATGCCCTGCCTTTTGTGGGTTTATATAGATTTAGCATATAAACATATATTAAAATGTAATTAAATTTATATGTTATATATTTTAATATATAAACGTATGTTTATGACGTTGTTGCCCAGTGATGGACCAGTCAGTCTATCCTGGTTTTGGGGGAATGATGTCCATTTGTGCCCTTGGAGAATATGGTGGGATGCATTTTTAGTGCTATTTCTTCATTATGAAAAAGTAGCTGGAAAACCCCACATTTTTATAACAGTGCAGAGCCTTTTGTACCAGAAACTTCTGACCTGACATTCATTCACCATGGCTTTGTGAGTCCATCCCTCTCCATGGCTTTCTCCTTTCCAGGGCCTCCCATATTGGTTTTTTCCTCTTATTTTCCAGAAAGGTGTTAATAAGTCTGTCCAGGTAGAGCTTCATTCAGGAGTGGTGTGAAGACTTTCAGCAGCAGAGGATTTCATTGAAAAAGAGGAGCCATGAGCTCCAGAGATCCAAATTGCAGTGAATGTTCCTTTTCCTCCCACTGCCTTTCTTTCCTGAAGCACAAGAGGGGCCTTCAGCAGCCTCTTTGGTAGGATGGACTCTGGGAAGAGGAGGTTTTTCAAAGTTTTCAAGTTTCTGAGCATGAGGTTGAGTTTTTTATTTTATTGATTAGGGAAACCCCACCCCCCAAAACATTAAAAAGGAAGGAAAATGCATAGAGGGATGTGAGTTTTACTCCATGTGTGGGTCTGTGAGGGAGCAATTCTGGCCAACCCTGTAACCAATCCTTGCTGCTCATCTGCAGCTCCCATTGTCTGTGCTGGTTCTTATGGGGGCTGAGGAGCTTCTGGTAGTCTGGAAGATCCTGGTTATTTTGTAATTTAATTAATTTTGTAAATTAATGCAGTTCAGCCCTTGAAGCTTCTGTTAGGAAGGCTTTTGAGAGGGATGATGATGCCATGAAATTGTGGCTCTTGGCTCCTTCAATGGGTACTCTGAGCCCTTGAAAAGTGACAAAAAAATCCAGATTGCTCCATGTGACAGGGAAGAGTGACAGCGTGGTCTGACGTTGTGACTGTGCTCTCTCTGTCAAGGATCACGAGCCAGTTTGCTGCCTTTGGCGTTAATCCACAGCAATCTGCTTGGCTCCAAAGGAGTTATTCCAAAGATTCCCATGTGTCATCGAGAGCAGAAACAGGGCCAGGCACCGAGGACACAAAATCAGCTCCATGAGTCAGAGCCAGCGTGACAGAGATGACAGTGCATTTTGGGGTGCCAGCAGAAGAAATGGATGAGCTCTGGTGTTCCCTGGCATTCCAACATCCTGTTGGGCTGATGGGCACCAGGCTGACTCGAGCATATCAGTCTTGCTCTGCTGCAAACCACCTCGTTCTTCTTGTGTCTTCTCACTGCATCTTTAATCCACTCCCATTTCCCAGGTTCTGTCACTGAAATCTCCCAGGGGTCACCCTCTGTCTGAAATGTTTTCAGTGTGAAATTTGGCATTATGACATCTGCTGGGGAGGGGATGCTTTCCTCCAGCACACATCCCCCAAGAAATATTCCTGGTCCTGGTTGAAATGTGTTCTGTGGAATTTGACAGAATTCAGATGCAATCCAAAAGGAAGCTGGGCAGATCTCACTTATTAACAGCTTTTTTGAAGTGAGAAAGCCACTCAAGAAGCACGGGGTAGCTGCAGTTTCTGTCACTGACCTTCCTCTGGGGATCTGATCAGCAGGGTTTGATCAGCAGAAGCTCAGCCCAGCACGAAGGGATGAGATGCTGCCTCTGGCCCACATCCATTCTCCAGCTCCTCTTGTGCTTCTCTTACTCCAACATCTTTTTCTGGAGAAATTTATCTTTTTATTTGCCTGCTAATGAGAGCTCATGATCTCTACCTTGTTCTTCTCATTGGTGGTTCTTGGGTTGGTTGCAGTGATGGCTTTGGGCTGCACTGCTCAGAGGAGTTGCTAACAGACCACAGGATCATCATGGAATGGTTTGGGTTGAAGGGACCTTAAAGATCATCTCATTCCACCCCCTGCCATGGCCAGGGACACCTTGCACATCCTAGGTGGCTCCAAGCCCTGTCCAGCCTGGCCTTGGACACTGCCAGGGATCCAGGGGCAGCCACAGCTCCTCTGTGGCCCTGTGCCAGGGCCTGCCCACTCTCACAGGGGTGGGGTTTTTCCCAAATATCCCATCTAAACCTATTCTATCATTGTGAAGCCATTTCCCCTTTTCCTGTCACTCTCAGGCCTTGTAAACAGCCTCTCTCCAACTCTCTTGTAAGTCACCCTGGAACCTTCTCTTTTCCAGAGACAAATTCCAATCCCAGTTCTGCCAGCCTTTCCTCCCAGCAGAGCTGCTCCATCCCTCTGCCCATCCTGGTGCTTCCTCTGGATTTGCTCCAGCAGCTCCAGGTCCTCCCTGTGCTGGGTCCAGGGCTGGGGTCTCACCTGGGTGGGGCAGAGCAACCCTCCCTTGCCCTGCTGCCCATGATGCTGGGGAGGCAGCCCAGGACCTGGGAGGTTTTTTGGGTGCTGGGGCATATCCAGCTCTCCCCCACCAGCACCCCCAATCCCTTCTCCCCAGGGCTGCTCCATCATTTCATCCCCAGCCTGGACTGATCCCAGGATTGTCCCTGCCCCAGCACGGCACCAACACTTGGCCTTGTTCAGCTGCCTGAGATTCCCCAAGGATCTCAGAGCCCCTCAGGTCCTGGCAGGAAGGTCAGGATGTTTGCTGTGTTGGAGGAGAATGGGGCACTGAACAGACTCCCATGTTCCTCAGTGGACATTTTGGTTTGTGCTGCTGCACGTCCAGTCTCAGGTGTTATTCCCTGTGGGCTGCTCTGCAGTCCCCACGCAGAAAGGGGTCATGGTTAATCAGAGGCTGAGACTGCAGGAAGTCCTCAGTAATTCCTCTCCTACCACGTCCTTTCCTGCTGTAGTTTATCCACTTCCAGACAGCCTCTTGAGAGTGGTTCAATTTTATTTCAATATGCTGGAAATCAGCTGAAATGAATGCACACTGACAACTGGGTTTGGTTTGATTTTTTTTTTTTTTTCCCCTGGGAGATGATCTGTTTATTCCAGGCACTTTTCCCCCTTTTTTCCTTTTGCTGTGTCTGTCATGGCTGACTTCCACTTCTTCCCTCCTCTTGAGCCTCAGCAGGAAGGACAACAATTGGTGGCCTGGGAACTATAAACCCCAAAGCCATTGAGTTGTATTTGCACATCTGGAACTGGGGTTTGATTCTGTGCTGGGTAGAGGGGACAGCACTGATGGGGTGACAAATATTTGTCCTTTTGTTGGGACTGCCCAAGGAGGAGTTAAAATCTCCTGGAAATTTGGAAAGAGTGGAGAGGAATCCCTGTGTTCATCCTTGGGTCAGGTTTTAGGCTAAGATTTGGTATTGTGAACAAGATTTACACAGTTCAGGGATTTCCAAGGCTGCTGTAAAAACATGGAAAGGAAATCCTTTCCCATGTCATGCTTCACCTTGATCTCCCACAGATCCTTGGGATCTGATATTTAATAAGTCTTTTGAAGCCTTGTTGCCATGAGCTACAGCAGCTCTGGAAAGCCTTGAGGTATCCAATGTTTTGTTGCAGAAATATCAGGAACATCTTCTAAAATAACTTGTTTAGGGCCAGTAGGGGTTGGATGCTTCAGTGCAGGAGCTTCCTAATTCTAAACTGTGGGTTTTTGGAGGGGTTTCCAACCAGGTTTTTGTCTGGCAGCTTCATTTACTATGCCTTGGCTGGTACCTCAGGAAACTTCACGTCTGCACATGAAAATATATGGAAAACTTTTATGCTCTTAGAGTGTAGTAATAAGCAAGAAAGTGAACTGGATGTTGCTCTGTGCAGGTCTGTATTTATAATTTTTCCATTTATTAGTAATTTGCAGTGGCCAACAAGGTTTCTGGTTCTCAGATTGCAAAATCATCTTGAGTTTGCTCCTTTGAATTCTTTGCTGGCCGTGAGTTTGTGGCAGAAGTGATCTTAAAAAACTCTTGAGTCTGTCATGGTGAGAGCATCACTTGGCCACGGAAAGGGGAAGTTTTCATGAGAGAAAATGAGAGTGAGTTTCTAATTCCACCCGGCAGAGGTGGGATTTGGGATTGCAGGAGGGATTCACTTGTCAGGCCTGAGCTGTAGGGTGGGAGTTCTATGAGGAATTTGAAGAGGAATGTGGGTGCTACTGGGAAGTTCTGCAGAGTTGCTGTCCAACCCTGTGGATTTGGGAGACCTCTGGCCAGATGGGAGGCAAGAACAGAGTTAAGACTTCAGCACCAATAGTCTTGGACCTCATCAATGACTTCTTTTCCCATGTTTTAACAAAAAAATCAAAATATTACACAGCACCTTTGCTGCTCCTCCCTCTCCCCTTCTTCTATTTTAATACAGTAACTAAATATTCATTATTAGCTTCCAACAGGCTTTAAATAGACCATGGACAGGTTTTTTCCTTGTAAATTCTTTTCCCAATCAACTTTTTAAAAATTTCTTTTAGTTTTGCAATTTTTAATGCAAAAATGGAAGTAGCTCATTAACACCCCATGTAAAACTAATGTTCTGGCCTAGAAGCATAAACAACCTCATCCTTGCTACGTGGACAATTTCTTACATTGCTTAAGTCAAGCTTTAACACTCTTTTCCCCCATTATTACTTCGCTGCAGATTTTGTTTTGGACAACAAAATTTCTGGATATGACAGAAACCATTCTATTAAACTATAGCTCAGGATGACAACCACTATTTTGGGAATAGTGACTTTAAGAAAAAAAAAAAGAATTTGATCCATTTCAGTTTGTCCTTCAGTCTTTAAAAATGATAGCTGTGCACTCTACATGTTGAGTGGGCTCAGGAAAAAACAGAAATATTTTGAGATGATTGCTGCTATAGAAGATGCCAGAGATTTATTTCAGCTCAGCTCCTATAAGGAGGAATATGCAGAATTACAGAGATAACAGCCTTTGTGCATTGAAAAACATCAACGTGAAAGAAAGAGAATATTTTGGATATTTAGTGAGAAAACACTTTCCTTCATCTCCCTCCCCCAGTAGCTGATTTTTTGGCAAAAATAGCACCCAACGTGTTTTGACTGAAATGGAAATATTTCAGTCTGGAGAGAAGTTATTGCGATACTTCCTGGGAATTGCTGTTTGGAAATTTGGTGTGTCCAACCAGCAGGAGCTGGGAGTTCCCTCTCCTGGGTGACTCCCAGCTCCTGCTGTATCCCCCAGAGTAGCACAGTCCTCTCCTCTGGCCATGGAGATTCCCCTATTCCCTGGGAAATGCAGTCTGGAAAGAATCTGGAACCCAACACCCTTGTGCTCTGGCACTTGGGATTGAAGTATTGCTGTTGCAGACAAACAGCTCCTCCTTGGCCTGAAAGGAGCTGAGCTTCCCTTTGGCCAGCAGGAGGAATTCCTTCGCTGGAAGGGTGGTCAGGCCTTGGAATGGGCTGCCCATGGAGGTGGTGGAGTCTCCATCCCTGGAGGTGCCCAGGGAATGACTGGACATGGCACCCAGTGCTCTGGTTTAGTTGACAGTGTGTTGATCAAAGGTTGGACTGAACCTTGGAGGTCTCTTCTGGCCTTCATGATTCTAGGAAAATAGTTTTTCATCAAGAAATAAAAGCCCTAATCAGGTTGTTCAGTTTTTCCTGCTCTCAGCTCTCCCTTGAAAGAGAGGAATGTGTTGGTTAGGGTGAGAAGTATCTGGGGTGGGGATGGCTCCCAGTGCTTTTATGGGGCTCGGCATAGCGAGGGCCTGACCTTTGTGGGACCACTGGGAATTTATGGTCAGAAATGGACCCCATGGAGATCACATTCCAAAGAGACATCCTTTGAAAAGGGTCATAGAATCACTGAGACTGGAAAACACCTCCAGGATTTCACCCAAGATTTACCCACTATGGCCAAATCTACCAGTGAAAGATGTTCCTCAGTGTCACATGACCTGGCTTCATGCCATGAGATGTCCTTCTTTGCCCTCCACCGGAGCTCTCAGGTTCCCACTGGGAAACAAAGCAAAGTTCTGTCATTTTTTGGGAATTGGATGTTGGTTGTGTGGGGCTAAGAGAGATGAACCCAGCCAATCCATGCAGCCTCTCCTCAGGAAGGAGAGCTAAGGAGGAGAGTCACCTCCTTGCACATGAACTCCTTGGAAGGGAAACAAGGTGAGGATGCAGCTTAGGGGTGTTGTGTTGGTACAGTTTTCATTGAGGATCACAGGGTGAAGGTGGAACAGGCAGCTCAAAACTATCACCTGGGAGGGCTGGGAGATCCCTTAGAACCCAGAGATTTGAGGGTCATCCCTGAGGTTTGATGGCCACAGTTCTTGACCTTCCCCAGAAGCCACCAAAACTGCCCTCCAGATAAATCTCCTGGTGGAATTAAATGCTGGGTGTCCAAGGGCAGGTCCTCTGAGTCCCACCACATATCCTGGCATCCACTGCTGCCCTGAATATCCGAGGGATAAATCTTCTTCCCAGTCCATCTCTCTTTTGTTCCTCATGCACAGCCTGGATTTTAGTTCTGAGCAAATGCTGCTTCCAGGGGATGAAACCCCACCTTTGGAGCAGGCTGTCCTTGGCAAGCCCCCAGTTGCTGGGCTTGGGAAAGCTTTCATGGCCCAAGCAGAGCCACATTTCTACGGGTTTGAGCTCCTGGGTGAATTTCCCTTCCATTCCAGCTCAGTTGCTGATGTTTCTGGCAGCCAGCTCAGCAGTGGTTTGGATGAAAGCTCCCTGCTGGTGTAGGTTTATATGACTGCTATTGTTATATTTTGTAAATAAGTTCTGAATTCTTCAGTGATAGATCCTCCCTGAGGGGTGTCACTGCAGGTTCAGGGCTCTTCCTCTGCATGGAAGTAGCCAGGTGAGCCAGTGGATGGCATTTAAGGAGCTGTCCTTGCTCCAGCACAATGATTTTGGACAGGTGAGGGGGGTACCTCAGAGCCAGCTTGGTCCAATGGCTACAGACTCAGAGGAGAAAACTTGTGTAGGCATCAGCACTTTGTGGCTGCTCTCAGCCTGGTGACACTTTGGGGAGCTGCACTACCTGATCTTTATGCATTTTAGCAAGCCTCTGGGTTCAGGAGGAGACTTTTACCTTACCTGAAGTGTCTGAGACCCCCTGTTCAGCTTCAGTGCTCCCTGCAGAGCAGGAATCACCTTTGGGGTTGTCACATTGCCAATGTGTTTGGAGAAACATCTGCAAAAAACACTGTAGGGTCTTTGAGGAGAGGGGATTTCCAGCCTGTGTTGGCGAAGCATCCTGACTTCAAACCAGCTCTGGGGGCAAGGGAACAATCCAGGCTTTCCCTCCCATCCTGCCTCTGCTGAGGCTCTGGTGTGCATCAAATCTCAGTGATTTATTTATTTCTCTTTTCTGAGCTTGGTCTGTGGTGCAGAGATACCCTATCCAGCACAAGCAGGCTGACACACTCCAGGCAAAAAGAATGGGGACAACTACTACAAGGAAAAAAAAGTAGACCTAAATATTTAATTAATTTCCAAGTCAGCTTGGCAGAAATTATGTTTCTATTTACATGCGTGTGCATATTGCAAATACATTACAAACAGTATACAGCCCATAAATGCTACAATATGTAAATAGAAATCTTGTTTATTTTGCTGAAACTGCATTTATATATTTTATGTGTGGGTATAAAATAGTGGTGGTTTAAAAGGCATGAATTTAAGGGGACTAAAAAGAAAGGGAATAACGAGTTCTGCATGGATAAAGTGTGACGGGACTGCAGCCTCCAGGGAGGGATATCTCCATTTCCCTGAAAGCCAAAACAAACTCCATGACACTAATGTGCTGCCTTCATGTATTAATCCTCTGATCTATTTATTAATTGATTGCTTTGCTGACTTGTTTCTCTTCTGTTTCTTTGCTTGTAGTAAAGAGTACCCAGTTGTTCCCAGGAGCACAGTGAGACAAAAAGTGTCCTCGAATCACAGCCCCTTCAGCGGCGAGACCAGGGTCCTTTCTGCCTCCTCCAACCTGGGCTCCCAGTACCAGTGTGAGAACGGGGTGTCCAGCACCTCCCAGGACCTGCTGCCTCCTGCCAACCCCTACCCCATCTCCCAGGAGCACGGCCAGATCTACCACTGCACCAAGAGAAAAGGTCAGAGCTTGCCTGCTCCCTGCTTCGTGTTTTCCCCCCTCCTAACATGACTGTCAGCATTGTTTCCTGATGTTTCCCCTTGGACAGCTCCAAGGATAACTGCCTTTGTGGGTAGAAAAACATCAAAGTGAAAGAAAGACAGTATTTTAGATATTCAGTGAGAAAATACTTTCCTTTGTCTCCCTCCTCCAATAGTTGATTTTTTGGCAAAAATAGCATGCAACAAACGATGCTGGAGGATGAACGAGGCATGAGGGTTGTGGGCAGCTCCCCCAGGCTGGGCTGGGAACTCTAAAATCCCATTTCTGCTGGGTTGGGAATGAGCTGTTTGGAGGGCTGGCAGTGCCTTTCACCCACCATGAATCCACATTTGGAAAGATAGCTGGTGCTGGAGATAAAGATGACTTATCTGCAGCCCCTCAGACAGGGTTAATCTCCAAGTGGAGATACCTTGACAGTTTGTATTTTGCCCAGTTTTCAACTCAGGGCTGTCTCTCAGTTGGGAGACAGTTTTCTGTCTGCAGAAATGCTCAGGCTAATGAAGGGTGCCTGGGAGTGAAACCCATGATATCCATGGTCCTTCCCTCCTGCTGCCACTGAGCTGCTTTGACAGAGCTTTAGGGATCAAACTGTGAGGGCTTTCCAGTGACTGCTGAGCTCGTCCTGGCGTGAAGAGCCCCCTGATAGCGATGGGATAATTGTTCTGGGCAAGAGAAGGGGTTTGTGGTCTCTGCCCTCCTCTCCCAAAGCTGTGGGAATGCTTCAGTGCAGCACCACTTGTAGGACTGAGATAGCAAAAGCTTTAGATCAGTCTTACTTGGAAACAAATAGGGGATTTCCAGGGCTGGATGCAACAAGGGGTGGGCAGGAGCTGGTTTCTGCCAACCCTGTTGCCTTTCTCAGGATTTACTCTACGGATCAATGGAAAAGCTACCAGAAGGCAGCAAGCACCAAGGCAGCAGGAATTTCTCCCCACAGCAGAGCCCTTCCCGCTTCCCTGCACAACCCTATCAGTCAGACACATGCCATTATTTTTAGCAACATAACCCCTGGAGCACTGGGATGTGCAGACACACAGTCTAAGGTAGGGAGGGCTGGGAAGTGCTGGCAGAGGAGGCAGGAGGGCAGTGGAAATCTCTCCCATGTCCTTGGTGAATCCCCTGGATATTGTAGGAGCACATGGGTTGTGTAAGGTATGCAAAGTTAAAAAAAAAACAAAACTGAGAAATCCTAATATTTTCCTGAGATTGAGGTAAACAGTGGAAAACAGGTGGTATTTTCTGTCCCCTCCAGCTGCCCAGGTGACTGTGCTCACAGAGAATGTGTCAGAGCAGGGACTGGAAATGGGGATGCTGGCCTTGAGCCGGCTGTAAGGCAGGGAATAAGGAGATGCCCAAAGTGTCCCCCACACAGAGGGGGGTGTGTGGCCTGTTTTACCCCTGCACTGCTGAGGGGGGAAGATGCTGGGGTGCTGCCAAGTCCCACTGCTGGTGGTGGAAGGTGGTCCCTGTGATCCCTGCTCAGTGCTGGGAGCTCCTGGGAGTCCTTTCTCAGCTCCGCTATCCTGGGAGTTGAGCTCTCACCTCTGCTCTTCCCCCTTTTCCAAAACTAACCAAAACAAGCTGGCCCAAATGACAAACAGCCCTTGGGACAATCCCTGACTGCTCCGTGTCCCTGCCCCGCGGGGCAATTCATCATTCGCCTCCGCATTGTAACGTGATAAGGAACCAACAGAGGTTTCCTTCCAGTTTTGGGATTCCCGCTAAGTGGTGTCTCCATGGGTGGTTTCCCTCAATCCCCCAATTATCTCACTTCCTCTTATTGTCACAGAAGACACGGCTATCTGCCCTGGAATAAAGCTCCCCGGCCCGCTCGGCCTGCGTGGCACAGCGCGGGGGACAGGCCGAGCGAGGCCTTGTCTGCAGGGCCCATGGCTCCTCCTTATCTCTGCCATGCCTTGAGTGGCACAAGCAGTTAAGGGCCTTTTATCAAAGCCGCCAAAGGCTTTAATCAAAGAGGAGCAGCGTCCTGCCCGATAGCAGCGGCTTCTTCCGCGGGGCTGGGTGTCCCGGCAGGCCGAGCCGCTGCTCTCCTCCCTGCGCCGCCTTCTCTCCCCTCCCTGTGCCTTTGGTAAATCGAAAACAGCCACCAGGGCTTAGAGGAAAGAAACACAAAGTTAATAGGAACCAGAGAGCCAGTCTGAGCTGCCAAGCAGCTCTTTGCAAAGTGAAATTAATTAAAAGGGAAAAAAAAAAATCATCAGAGATGAGCAATTCGGGTTGGTTAAATCAGAGCGTGATCCAAGGTTTCATGTCACTGAGCGTGGATCTTCCTTCCAGCACCAGCAAGGATCTTTGTCGGACATGGGAAAATAATCCTATGCATGATATTCCTCTTTTTTTTTTTTTTGCCGTTCCAGCCTCTCATTTCTGAGTTTTCCTTCATAGTTCTCCTGCTTTCCTACATTTGTGCTTAACAGTTAACAAGCCTCACCACCTCAGAAAACTCAAAAGCAAGAGTTTGTCTGCTCCTACTGTCCCTCTGTCCATTTTGTGGACTGGAAATCTTATTGATTGTGTTGGACTATCCACTCCCCAGGCATTGACTCCTCCCAGGCAGCTTAGGATTTATCTCAAGCGGATTGTTTCCTTTCCCAAGGCTGTGGTTACGGATAAGTGCTCTCAGGGGCAGAGGGCAGTTCAGCTGGCTTTGTGACCAGCTGCTGTCTGCATCTTCTGGGGTGAATTCCAAGCCAGTCTCCTTCCAGCTTTGACATCTCCTGAACTTTCTCTGCCTCCTCTTCAATCAGAGCCAAGCCTTGGGTTAGGCTCACTTAGGGACAGGTCTGTGTTCACCCAACTCAAAGGAACCTTGTTCAATTTCTGCTTTCCTGGTGACCTAAGACAAGGATAAGTCTCTGTGGCTGGCAGTGTTGTTCTTAGCTGTCAAGGCAAGATGGATTCACTGTGGAGATCTGATATGGAATTACATTAGGGGAGAGCAGCAGGGCTGCCAGGGGATGTTATCGCTGAAGGCTCCCCTGCTTCAGGGAGGTGATGCTCTCCTGGCTGAGGAAGGAAGGAAGGACACATCCCAGAGCTCCTAATCTGGTGATTCCTGGTGTGCAGGTGGGAGGGCAGGGTCACAGCATTGGGAATGACCCCGATGCACTGCAGTGGGGTCACTGTTCCAGGAATGGGGAATGGCAAGGATCATCCTGCCTTGTATCCCAGCCCCACACTGGGATTGCTGATGGCATATGACAGAGTCACTGGTCTTGAGAGGATGGACTACCTCCAACCCTGGATCTCATCAAGGAGTGGCCTCAGCTCTTGATGTGGATTTTTAGGCTGACACAAAGAGCAGTTGGAGCTTTGTCTTTTTTTCGGGTTGTTCTCCACCTCTCCCTCTCCCATTGTTGTGCGTGGAGAAGCCCAAAAGACCTCACCAGCAGGCAGCTTGCCTTGTGTCTTTCATTTAGCCCCACATCCCAGTTAGGATACTGGGCCTTGTTTTCCCTTGTATTATCCTCTCTCTCAGATATCCTGTGGACTAAATAGTCATCCCTCTAAACCTCTGCTCCCTCCCAGCCTTACACAATCCCAACCACTTGGCAGATTTCTGGGATGCTTGCGATGCTGAACAGGAGGCAACTGGAACAGTCTCTCCCTGGGGAGGTTATAAAAGTTGTCATGTTGGCACTCTGAGGGAGAAGGACGTGGCAGAATCCACTGGCTCCAACCAGTGAGGACCATGTCCTTCAGCCCCCTAACTTGGACATCACCCTGGGGCAGGATTTATCTTTCATCTCCTTCCTGCTCTGATGAGGTCAGTGCTGGTACAGCAATGCCTTTCCACCTTCCCCTCAATAACAGGCACTGTCAATGTGCACAGACCTCTTTGTAGACTGAACCAACTTCTCCCACATCCCACCCAGCTTTGTTTTTTCACTCAAGGAATCTGTAGGACAAAATTCAGGCATGGGATATCTCCTTGGAGGACACGCTGCTCACTCCAGACATCACACCCTGATGTCTGGAGATGTGATGAGCTGGCCAAGGCTCAGGCTGTGCTGCAGCTGGAGAGATGCAGTGGAGCCCAGGGCAGGGTGGCTGTGGGACACTGAGGCTGAGGAAGGGACTCCCTGCATAGGGAGGAGATGTTCAGGGAGCTGGGGTGCACCCAGCTCTTGCTGAGCAGTGACACTCTTGTGGCACTGTAGTTTGATATTCCTAATGAGGAAAGGCTGAGGGAGCTGGGCCAGTCTTGACTAAGAGGGGACCCCATCAGTGTCTGCAGGAAGGTGCCAGGGGATGGACCAGGCTCTGCTCCAGGTGTCCAGCAGCAGGACAACAGGCAGGAACTGATGCCTGGGAAGTTCCACCTGAACATGAGGAAGGACTTCTTTCCAGTCAGGCTGCCCAGGAGGGTGTGGAGTCCCCTCTCTGGAGATATTCCAGAATTTTCTGGACACAGTCCTGTGCCATGTGCTCTGGTGTGACCCTGCTGGAGTAGGGAGGTTGGACCAGATAACCCACTGTGGTCCCTTCCAACCTGACCCATTCTCTGAACCCCTTCTCCTGTCAGAGGTGCCTCTGTGCCTCTGCAGAGAGTGCTGGCAGCTTGCTGCCTGTGGAAAAGATTCCAGCTTTTGGGGGTCGGATTGTCCCTTTCCCACAGCCCTGTTGTGTTCAGTTCCACACAGCCATATCACAAACAGTGAGATATAGCTGGAATGGCTGGCATGTCTTAGGTTCCATGTCCTAGGATTTAGGACTTATTTCTTCTTTAGAGATTTTCATTTTGATTGGATCTGCCTTGTCCTTTTCTTCTTGGACAACCTTTGTCACTCTTGCACCCTGGTATTGGCTCTTCTGGCTCTGGAATCCAGACTGGATAAAACAACAGAGTTCATGATAATCACCCATTGTGTTTCCCTCACAAAGTCAGGATTAACCTCCTGTAACGCCCTGGAAGTGTGGGTGAGCTCTGAAAACCAAACAAGTCGTGTCCCATTCTTCATTGTCTTCCACCCTGGGGAGATGAGTGTCATCTGTGAGGAAGGAGCTCTCCTCATTTACACCAAGGGGGAGAGGGAGGCCCAGCACACCCTGAAGTCCAGAGGCTTTCCATGTTTGCATTTCATTCTACGTGGCCCGAATCTTGGAATTGGGAAAATTCCATTTAAAAAGCCATTTGCGTGGTATTTACAACCCAGCTGGAAGTAGTAAATACCGGAAATCTTGGAAGCGCTCATGCTCTCGCTCAAGCTCCTTCATTAGATAGATCATCAAATTCCTTGTGAGGGAGCCAGTTTCCACTCCATTCTTCAGGCTCTCTTTTCCTTGGATTCACTTCAGAGCAGCTTCTCCCTGGTGCTGGCAGCTCCCCCTGCTTGGCAGCACCTCCTGCTTTTTGAGGTTTGTGCAGCATCGAGGGGCTGCTCCCTAGAGTTGATCACCACCCTTGGCTTCCAAGAATAGCAGCAACACGGGGGGGGAGATGGTCAGGATATCTCCCAGGATAGCCAACAACTCCTCTGAGGGCTCAGTGGTACCTGGAAAAGGACAAGGAGCTGCTGTCAGGGAACCAACACCAGGAATCAAACCCTGACCAGGCAGTTACATATCTCCAGTGTCCTGCTTACGCTGATAGGAGGAGGTAAGAGGACGTTCAGGGACAGGATTGTCCCTTGAGCTGCACTGTCCAGGCTCCAGAGCCCGTGAGGATGAATTGAAACTGCAGCCTTTGGCATTGCATGACAGACCTGTTTGTCTTGAGCTCCTTTTGTCATTGAAGATGTCCCCTTTCCACCCTAAAGCTGCTCCACACACCTGGGGGTGCCCTCCGGCTGCTCTGTGCTGGCTCTGATCTCCTCTGTGAGGAGTGGTGGGACAAGACCAGAGAGCCTGGACTGCTGCAAATCCCTCAGGCAGCACCAGCTGAGGCTCTCTGCTCTGCACCATCCCACCTCAGGATGCACATGGACCATTCTCTTCCCTGTCTAGCACTTTGAGGGTCCATAAATGTGAAAATCACTTGGAAGAGGGGCAGGAGGATGGGCAGAAGCTGTTAGGGCAGGCTGGAATCCTTTGTTAGTGCCTAGGTCCCATTTGGAAGTGAGAACAAGGTCTTTACACACCTTAAAATACCTTTCCACATAAAATATCAGTGAACCTGGCTCTAGAGAGACCAGCAGAGTGATCCCAAGAGCTTACAGAAGAACAGAGGGCCCTTATGGGGTTACCACTGAAATCCTGGTCAGCTTTGTTTTTTCTCTTCACCTGTGATGGATTCTGGAAGTGGTTCTGTGACACTGCAGCTCTGCCCAGCTGGGCTGTGGCAGGCAGTGAAATGTCTGGGCTAAGTGGAAAAATCAGCAAGCTCAGGTTGTAAGTCAGGCTGTTTTACACCATGGAAAAACAGAGTTTGACTGGTTTGTGTTGTATATTTAAAAAAATCAAAATAAAATAAACAGTCAAACCCCAAGCCAATGATTTCTGGTGCCAGCAGAGTGATGCGGTTTAATGCTGAAAACTTTATTAGCAGAACAATGCTGCATTTTACAAGACATTGTTTTTCCACCCCAGTGTTCTTATTACTCAGCGGTGGGTCAGGAATCCAAACTTTTTACACTGTCCATAAAAGCTCCAGCTCAGGCTGTTCTTCCAGACGTATCTCCTGTCATGGAGCTGAGATCAGGAGAGAGGTTAGACCTGTGCCTCCAGCTTTAGGCTTTCAGGGGACCCCATCCTTTCCCCTGCTCCTACAAAAACTGGACCTGAGCTGGGTTGAGGAGGATGACACATTCCTGCATCTTCCTGCTCATTGTTTCAGCTGGTTTCAAAAATGGGATGGAATTGCTCATTTATCTCATCCTGCTTCCCACCCCAATGTACAGGGAAGGGAGAGGAGAAACTTGATTACCAGGGCTCTGCATTGCTGAGGTGAAGGAGCCAGGCTTTGATGTTGTCAGGAAAAATGAAATGGGACTGTGGCTTTCCAGATGAATTATGCTATTACAGAGCCAAAGGCCACTGTGGGGATGTCCCCATGGTGTCCCTCAGGACACCAGGACATCCCCAAGTCTCTCCCTCTCTTTGTGGAATTGTTGAAGCAAGATGAAGAGCAGCAGTTGTTCCAGCTGGACTTGGAAGACCCCTGGGTGGGAACAAGAGGTTATTTTACATGCAGAGAGGGTGCAGCTTCCAGGAGAGCCCTCATGGTTCAGGGCAATAAGGGTTACGTGCATGTGCGTGTTTAGAAGAAACAAAAGATGCCTGCACTGCCCACCTGCCCCTCCTGAAGGTGTGACATGAGCATTCCCCTCGGAGCAGCCTGGCAGCAGCACCTCTGTGCCTCTTGTGGGGCAGATGCTCTCAGTCCTCCTTTCTGTGCAGCTCTTTGGGGTTTGTTTCCCCACCATATTTTGGGGGTGGAAAAAATTACAGCTCAAAACACATTGGTGGAGAAAAATTGTAAAGGGTAACTTGTTCCAAATTTCTTTCAAATCTGACCCCTGTTCAAAGGGTGCAGCCAGGACAGCTCTAACCAAGTGGGATGTTTTCTTGCCTGCACCAGAAATCTTGTTTTTGAAACAGCAGCAAAGTTAATCCATGTCAGAACAGCTCCCCTTCCCTTGCCACACTGTCCTTAAAATCTCTTGGTGAAGTGCTCATCCCTGGGAATTTTGCCATCCATTCCAGCAGAGCTGGATTTCATTTGATGACCCTGTGAATGAATAAATAAGTGCACATTCATTTATTCATTTGGCCTCACCCTGGAGATTTCACCTAAATTGTTTATCTCCTTCCCTCTGCTGGCCTGGGATGCTGCAGGAAACAAAGGGCTCTGCAAGATGTGCCTTGCTGTTTCTAGCTGTGAAATTTACTTTTCTCCTTTGTTCCCCTTGGCTCCAGCACACGTCCCTGTGTGGATTTATGTGCCCACAGCCCTGTGTGGATTTATGTGCCCAGCTGCCTTGGCACAGCTGAAGGCTGGGGCTGTCAAACTCCAAATCTGATTGTCCCAACCGTGCCATCGCTGGTGCTCTCTTGGGAGGATTTTTATTGTGATCTGCTTTTTTGTCTCTTTTTATAATTTATATTTTATCATGGAAATATTTTGTTGTAAAGGATTTGAGTTGACAGCATCAGCTGTGAGCCTCCTATGGGAGAGGGGGGATCCTGGTAGGTGCAGAGGTCACAGGCAGATGTTATTCCTCAGGTAAAAGTGGCAGCAGGAAGGAGATGGGGAGCATGTGGGGGGATCACCAAGCAAGATAAACCTCAGGATCCCTCTAGCATCTTGATTTTTCCTCCCAGAATTCCTGACTAATCCCTTCCCCCCTCTAGCAGAGAGGACCAAGTGCAAGGCTTGGTTTCCACAGGATAGATGAGATCAGTTCCAGGGAAATGATGGGGATTTACACCGAGGGAAGTGTCAGCTTGTCCTCAGTAAAAGCAGGACTGCAGAGAGGGACGTTCAGCTGCGGGCACATTATCATTGGTAGCTACCAGGACTTTTCTCTCCCAACAGATGAGGAATGTTCCACCACCGAGCATCCCTACAAGAAGCCCTACATGGAAACCTCTCCAGCAGAGGAGGACCCTTTCTACAGGTCCAGTTACCCGCAGCAGCAGGGACTGAACACGTCGTACAGGACTGAGTCGGCGCAGCGCCAGGCCTGCATGTACGCCAGCTCGGCGCCGCCCACGGAGCCCGTGCCCAGCCTGGAGGACATCAGCTGTAACACGTGGCCCAGCGTGCCCTCGTACAGCAGTTGCACAGTGTCTGCCATGCAGCCCATGGACAGGTTACCCTACCAGCATTTCTCTGCCCACTTCACCTCGGGGCCGCTCATGCCCCGCCTGGGCAGCGTGGCCAACCACACATCGCCCCAAATCGCAGACACCCACAGCATGTTCCAGCACCAAAGCTCTCACCAGCCCATCGTGAGGCAGTGTGGACCTCAAACGGGCATCCAGTCCCCTCCCAGCAGCCTCCAGCCAGCGGAATTCCTGTATTCCCATGGTGTGCCTCGAACCCTGTCGCCCCACCAGTACCACTCGGTGCACGGCGTGGGGATGGTGCCAGAGTGGAGTGAGAACAGCTAACCAGGGGGGCAGGGAATGCCAGAGCCACGGGAAAATCCCAGCAAACGGGAGAAGGAAAAGGAAAAGAATCCCCCTGTTGATAACAAAGCATTTTGCAAGACTCCTTGAAGTGAATGTTCACCGCTAGCACTCGAGAGGGACGGACACTGACTGAAACCACGGCTGGAAGTCATCGGCCTCGGTGTGACTTGCCCTGACCCCCCTTTTGTTTTCTTTGGTTTCAAAAGAAAAGCCAACAGCCCAGCACACTTCTGTCCCTCCACGGTCCCACCCAGTTTGTGTTGCTGCCACCACCCTCGTCCCCCTCCCCGTCCTTCTGCTCTTTTTGTTCTCCAAGGGACACCAAACTCCTGCTGCCTTTCTCACCACGGTCAGAATGCTTGAACGAGAACAATTAGGATGTTACTCTTTTTTTTTTTTTTTTTTTTTTTTTGGTGGTGTTGATGTTGACAATGTTATATAATAAATAATAATATATATTTTTTTCTTTCCATTTTCTCAGAAAAAAAAAGAAAAAGACACCGGCCCTTTTTACCAAGGGTGAATTTTGGAGTGGTGTTTCTTTTTTTTTTTTAGTTAGTGTCATCTTTACTTTTCAACAGAAAGAGGTACTGAGAACCCCCAAATAAATAAATCCAGTACCTACCTCACCCAGGCATTGTACCAAGAGTGAAATTACTCCACAGGGAGCTGTGTTTCCTTACAAATTCCCCAAAATTCTCTCCAGGAACCATTCCATAAACCATCCCCTCATCTCCTTTCCCACTTGTAATTCTCTCACTCCTCTTCCCTTCCCATCTCCTGGTCTTTCCTGGTCCCTCAGCCATCTCTGCCGGAATCATGGGGTTACTTCCAACCTTCCAAACATCCCCAGCTTGAGTCCTACTGGATTTTTAGCGGCGTGTGGAAAGCCGGGCTCTGAGCCAGCTGCCACAGGGGGAGAGGGGGGAGACGATGCAAACACTGAGAGGAAAAAGTTTGCTCACCAAAATGATGATGACGCTTGTTTGCAATCCCAGGCTTTCATTTTCTCCTGTGTTCCTTTGCTTTCTCTCCAAAAGAAAAAGGAAAAATTAAAAAAAAAAAAGGGATATCAGTCTGGGTGTGTGATGTGAGATATTAAATAAATGTGTTTAAAAGGGGCAGAAAGTGATCATGAGAGGCTGGGAGTGGTAGAGGCAAAAAGAGAAGGAAAAGCAAAATTGTGCAAGGAAAAATGTCTACTGCAGAATATTTCAGGTGTAAAATTTCCTGGTCCTATTTATTTATACGTGGGAGTTCCAATAACTCTAAGGATGTCACAAAAGCAGCTGATTCCAAGAGATTCAAATTTTTATTGAAATGGAAGTTTGCTTTCTTTTCTTTTTTTTTTTTTTTCCTCTCCAAGCTGTGCACACTCTATATAATTTACATATATTTTTAATTAAAAGTAATTCTAATTAACTAAAGAGCTTGTCAGCCTCTGGGAATGTGGGTGGGAATTGTGGGAATTCCAATGTGGGAGGGAATATAGACAAGTACCCAAAGCCATGGAGCTAAGGAGAAAAAAATAATCCCAGCCTAGCTGTGCCCTCCCATTTTTGTGTGCCAATTTATGGCTAATAAATACCACACGTTCTCAATGGCAAGGGAGTGCCCACCTATTTTTAATGTATTTTTGGGTTTGGGGCAGATTTTTTTGCACCTACTTGATGCCTATAATTGAATTTTTATTGATTTCTGCTGTAGCAGAGGAGGTGGAACACCACAGGGGGAAGGTAGGGATGGGCTGAGCTTGGGGCTGTGGCCTTGTCTGCCCCACAGATGCCTGGGTCCCCCAGGGCCCTGCTCTCCTGGGGTCACCTTCCCATCCAGGCAGATTTACAAAGTGACACTGGTGGGTGCTGGGGTGGCATTGGCAATGCCCAGTGAGGTGGAACTTCCACCCTGTTCCCAGGGAAGTGAGGCTGGTGGGAGGTGTTTGGCCCAGGGGAGGTGTGGGGTTGTGTCCCAGCCTGGGTGAAGGAGGGGAGATGCTTTGGGAACTGGAAACCAGGTGGGAAAATCAGCTCCAGAGCAATGAAGAGATTGCAGCTGGGAAGTCCAACAGAAAGGTTGGCTCTGTGCAGCTGCAGAGCCAGGATCACCTCAGGAAGAGCATGGAAAGAGCCCAGGAGGTGTTCCCAGCCTGGCCAGGATCACCTCAGGAAGAGCATGGAAGGAGCCCAGGAGGTGTTCCCAGCCTGTCCCACGTGGCAGGGACACCGAGGGACTCCCTGCAAAGGCACAGAAAGGCAACAGGACTGTTCAGACACAGAAAGACAGGGTTGGCTGAAGAGGTGTTTAAAAGAGGGTTTATTGCAAAAGCAGTCTCGTGGAAGGGAGACACTGTAAGGTTGTTACACACAAAACCATCACTTAGAAGCCATACATTAGAAGCCTTGCATCAGAAACTGCTATAATTGTAGTTACAATGTCTTTTGTAAAGTTCTTATCCAATCAGCACCTTCCACAAAGCTTGCAAGCATCTTCATTACCAATGCTAATTGCTAAGTTTTATACAATTTACCCCAATGCATCTTTTTCTGTCCAATCATAGAACTCTACAGAAATGTATTGCTGTATCTTTTACCTTTTATCAACTCTATAGCAAGTTCTGTTGCTAAACTTTAATTGTATTCTACTTTCTTGCTTATTTCTTCACTTATATGAGTTAGAAGCCATACATTAGAAGCCTTGCATCAGAAACTGCTATAATTGTAGTTACAATGTCTTTTGTAAAGTTCTTATCCAATCAGCACCTTCCACAAAGCTCGCAAGCATCTTCATTACCAATGCTAATTGCTAAGTTTTATACAATTTACCCCAATGCATCTTTTTCTGTCCAATCATAGAACTCTACAGAAACTTATTGCTGTATCTTCTACCTTTTATCAACTCCATAGCAAGTTCTGTTGCTAAACTTTAATTGTATTCTACTTTCTTGCTTATTTCTTCACTTATATGAGGCCTAGATCTACTTGCTTAAAACATATTTCTGCTTAAACTACAAATCTTTATTCTTATTTTGTGTCTGTTTCACTGTTCTGTCCTCAAGCTCCAAGCCTTCTCCAAGGTCTGAGGTCAAACACTGTATCCATCTCTATCTCTGAGCATGCATGCTCGAGGCCTTGGGAGCTCTCTGTGCTTGCATTTCCCACCCAGGATCAGTAGGGCCACTCCACAGAGATATTCTCACCTTGCTGTCCCAGGGATGTGGGGCACGGAGTCTTCTGGGCCTCTCCCAGCACTGCCTCCAATAAAACTTTTTTTTTTTTTTTTGATGTCTGCTTTTACTGCCTCATGCTTGCAAAACATTTTGGGATTGTTGGGTTAGACACAGCCAAAATGGGATGCTGGAGCTTGCTCTGGGTATCAACAACATTTGCGGGCAGAAGGAGATGCAGGCACCACATGTGGGGCAGGGCTGGGACCTCAATTCTTGCAAAGCTTTTTGTCTGCATGGAGCCACCCTCAGGGAATCCCCCAAACGTTGCATTAAATCACACAGAACATGCAGTGCTCCAAGATTGATGAGTAAATTGCATTTTGAGTTAAGGAACACAACAATTACACTGTATTTAGCTGTCATCTGCGTTGTCCTCTCCCAGCTTTGCTGTCCCACTGCTGACCATGTAATCATCTAATCCCCATCGAGTGATTCCCATGTAATTTGAGGGGCAGTGGTTACCCTGTAAGTAAAGAGGTCTCCCCAGAAATGCCTGCCAGGCATCTCAAAGAGGATTAAGGAAAACTAAACTCCCACGGAAAATTACTTCTTAAGCATTGGGAGGAAAGCCTCAAGCTTCCAATTCCACTCATTTCCTCAGAGCGCCTCAGGTTTGGTTTTTGGCTCTTTGGGGTTATGCTGAGATCCTGTGATGGGTTTTGGGGTTGGAAGACCAGGCAGATCCCTGAGGATACAGCCTTGTGGAGCCACATTGGTATGAGCAGCAGGGAGGCCATCAGCAGCAGAATCATCACTTGTCACAGCAGTAAAATCTGGGATCAAGGCAAAGGAAAGGTGGTGGGAGGAGCCAACAATGTATGGCTTCTTTTCCTCCTCCTCTTTTGAAGGAGTTTGTCAGAGCATTTCCATATGGAATTCCATTTCCATGGGTAGGACTGGGAGGAGTCAGGATGTGAAGGGAAAAGGTGATCCCAGCCTGGATGTGGATGTGCCTGCTCTACCTCGAGCTTCTACTTTTCCTAGGTGGTCCAAAACAACACCAGGAGCTGTCAAGAAGAAGGTTGTTCTCTCCCTCTGATTGTGATTTTATGTTCCAAAGATCCTGATGTGATTTCTTTGATTTCTTTTCTTATGGATTTATTTCTTAGCCAAGAATAATAATGCTGACGATAACAATAAACAGCAAAATTAGGGGAAAAATTACATTTATCCATGGAGAAATTGGACAAATGAGCTTGCAAAATTCACCCTACTCAGAGCTAAACTGGCAATTCTTCCCTGTGAGGGTGGTGAGACCCTGGTACAGGGTGCCCAGTGAATCCCCTGGATCCCTGGCAGTGTCCAAGGCCAGGCTGGACAGGGCTTGGAGCAGTCTGGGATGGTGGAAGGTGTCCCTGCCATGGCAGGGGTGGCACTGGATGGGCTTTAAGGTCCCTTCCCACACCAACCATTCCATGATTCTTTAATAAGAAACCTTGAAACGTGAGGAGGACCATCCCCAAATCCTCTGGTGTTTTCCATAAACCCCACTGAGGGTGTTGGGGGTGGGCTGCTCAGGGACAGGGATGATGGAACAGAGTCCAGGAGAGCTGCACCCCGGGGTGAGGAGGGAACTGGGCCCCAAAGGGAGCTCCAGAGGAGGAGGAGAGCTGCTGAGGTGGGGGGAGAAGGCAGTGGAGACCCCTCCTCCCCATGAGCAGGGAATCTGCTGAGGAAAGGAGCCGTGGAACATCACCAGGCAGGAGGCAAACAGGCCTGTAGGGATGAAGCAGAATAAACAAGGGCAGGCTGAGCAATTCCTTGGAGCACAGAACCCAACCCATGCTGAGAACACCTTTGAAAGAGTGAGCAGCAGTTCCAGCCTGTGGTCACAGTGCTGTTTTTCCAGCTGCCTCCCTGGGCTCAAACACTCCCTGCCGGGTACCTGGGGAGGATTTTGATGCCCTGAGAGGCACAGAGAGCTCTTTGTCTGCCCCCATCAATCACTCCACATTTCAAGTTTCACCAGCCAGTGCTGGGTGGGTTTTGAGATGATTTTCCCCACCAGCAGCCTCCAAACCTGCACTGGTGAATCTTTTCCTACAGGCAGGGATGCTTGGAAGGGGCAAAGTCACCCCTGTGCCGCTCAGGCTGCTCCCACGGCAGAGCCAACCTCCCAAAAATTGCTCGTTTTGCCTCGAGGGCTGAGGGAAAAAAATATCCCAAAGCCTCAGGA